GCACTCAAGGCGGCATCGAGATTTTACTGTGGACGAAAGCTACGATGCGTCATCGTCCAAGAACGACAACCCCCCGATGACGATATCGTCGCCGATCGATCACTCCGTGTTTCCCGAGGAGTCATTCTTGTCTGAAAGTGAGTAACGATTCATCGAGTCAGCCGGAATCTTTGCGGATTAAAGGTTTCTTTCCGAGTCTGGATTCACGGTTTATACACATAGGAATGAAAATATCAGGTGTACAAATTAATTCTACTGCCCCATAATTAATTATTGGCTGAAAGTCGTCGTTATTTCGAGAGGGGATTCGTCAATTGTCTAAGAAATGACAAAAAATCTGTAGATAATGATGCGGAATATTTTGAAGATTCGAACTGTATTTTGGTTTATTTGTAAAGAAACGTGAAATCTACGAAAAGAAGGCCACGAATTAATATGCACACCTAATGCAGGGTTTCCCATCTAATGTGAGCACCTTCAATGTCTTACTTGCTTTTTACGTATGCACATAGAAGATTGATATTCTAAAAAACAGTGTAAATAAGAACTAAAAATGGAGTTCTAGGGTTAATTATTCCTATATTTTGTATATTAATGTAAAAATATGGTTTGTAAAGAAAAATAATGGTATTCTTAATGGAATATGGTATTTTTTACGAATTGCATAAACAAAATTTTACTCGTACACACGAAGGATGTCACCTATAAGACGCGACCATTGCAGAGGCCGACGTTTTGGCTGCTAAAATCGCAGCCCCTCGACGCCCGAGTTGACTAAAACTTGAAAAGGGCGAACAAACGCGTCAGCTTGCCGGAAAAAATTAATGAACGCGTTTACACGGTGGGGGTGGGAGGGAGGGGGGGGAGAGGGCACGCATTTGATACAAACCGTCAGGCTTTAAAAGCCGGTGCCATTCTCGTCACCTGTACCGTGAGCGCTTTCCTCGATCTCGCGAAATTTCTTCAAAAGATGTTTCCCCGTTTTATTTTATTCCACGCGCGAATATATTTTCCCTTGTGGAACCCGTTGAATACATACATATACATCTTAATTGAGTCATTCTTCGGTGAATATATAATTCACCCCGCGAACACATTGGCGTAACTAGAATTTTTTCTAGGGGGGGCCAGACCCCTTGAATTTCGCCCATAACAATCCTTAACAGGTACGAGGGTTGCACAAAGTAAAGTTACACATTTTGCAATAATTATTTACATGTTTATTTAACAGTAAAATTAAAATTAGAAGAATATAAACATAATTCTTAAAAATAAAAGAAATTTTAAAGACGCCCATTTGATGGCTATTTCAGGTCTAAGACGCCTTTAAGCCGTCTTGAAGGCGTCATGCGCTATCTGGGTATAATTAAAATGTATCATATATAAGCTTCAATTTGATGTTTTTTTTTCTGCAAAAAATATTTTTCACATTCTCCAGCGCTAGTTCCTATAATTGCATCCGACCCTTCAATGGATGTTGCAGAATTATTAGTTAACTAGAATGTAAAAATTAAACAGCTTAATTCTAATACAATTTTACTTAATACATTTTCATAATGAAGATAGTATTGTATTTTTTGTACTTAGTTGCGTTGCGTATTCCATTTCAGCCCAAGTATTTATTTTTTATAACATTTATAGATTTCACTAACCGACGAATGTTCTTTTACATATTTCAATGATTTCTGGGCGAGGGGAGGGGGCAGGCTCATCCTGGCCCCTACCTAGTTACGCCAATGCGCGGACAACAAAGCGTTTCGAGGTTAGGTCCCGTGTTTTTCGCTCTTGTACACGTAAAACGGTCGTTCAAAATAGCAGACAAAGCGGAAACACAGTTTTCGAACAATAGGCGACGCCGTGGTGGTGTCTAACGAGATTCAACCGTTCATTACCGAGTAATAAACGTTTCCTTGTGTGTCATCCCGAGAGGGTGAAATTTTTCGGTTGAATATCCCGTTTCAGAAGTATTGTATCTTGAGGATAAAGCACACCGCTCCGGTGATGATCAACGCGACGACGATTTGAATGCCCACGGAGACCTTCGTGGTGGTGTTTTCCTTTTCTGGATTCTTGACGAATGCACAAATTACCCCTCGTCGCCATACGAATCTTCGTCACACCAAATGATACGCTACAAGTATCCCGTAAAATATCAACGAGATAATTAACAGTATCGCGACTACGTAAAATATTGCGCACATCACGAATGAAGTTTTGTTAGACAAATAAATCAATTTGCTAGATCTCGTCGTAAGTACATCACTCGCGTGCAACTTCTGCTTGATACGTATAAAGGCTCCCACAAACCAACGCGAATATTTCGCGAACGAATTATGAGCGAAATCTCAGTTCCCAATTTTTTATTATTCGGTAGCTTGTACATCATCTCCCGATTGCTAATTTTGTTCTATGGAACCTAAAGAATTTCAATACTCTTCGTTTGGACATAAAATTTGCAAAAATGTTTATATGATGGAAAAATTGACGCAGGTGAAACCAAATTCGCGATTTTGTTAGCTTTGACGTAAACGAATTCTTATATTTTGATATTTTTGTATGATTTCGTCAATGTAAATACCCAACCAAAATTCTTTGGCACTTGTCAAAGATCTGTGTCAAATTTCTTTGCAATCCGTGCCGTAGGAACGAAATAAATAAGGAAATCGTTTACGGTTGTTCGGTCGGTAAAGTGCTCGACGCTTTCAGCTTCTACCGAGTGTTCCTGAAAATGTGCCTAAATATTAATCATATACAGGGTGTCCCACGCAAGTGTTACTACGACATTTCAGGACTTTCCTTGAACTTTACGAAAAATTGTGTTAGGCAAAAATTGAACTATGTTTAAGTATGCACAACTTTCGTGAATATGAAAATGTATGTACAGGGTGTCGCATTTAAATGGACTCACTGAAATATCTCCGAAACTGATGATCCGAACTGTGACTTCCAAAGTATAATTGTTCCGAAAATTTACACCAAAAGGTCAATATACCTAAATATTATTTCTCCAAGTTACACAGAATTTTCTTCGAACCAAAAATTTTACGAAACTTTCGTAACAATATAATTCACAGTGAAGTATCTAAATAATCTAGGGTTACAAAGTCAGCGTTACACCTGGGGACCTTTGCTTGTCAATGCCGAGAAGCCTTCGAACACTCATCGATGATTTACTGTACTGAAATATAATCGAAAGACTTTCTCCATGTACGAGACATATTTATATAGAAGCCTTTGAATTTTTCATTTTCCACAGACCAATTCACCCGAACAAGTAGGTACATATTATTTTCGTCGAGGGGTATCAATTATAATAAAAAACAAATGAAGCACATTAATGATGCATAGTTTACTTGCACGGAATGTGATACAGGAGTTCGTTGGTTTATTAATTACACGTGAACTGAAATATCATTGGTCAGCCAGATGATCGATCGGGTTGTTTATACTTTAAACAAGACTTCAAATATGGTCGACGATCTCGTTGTAATCGATGTGACGGGCGATTATAAATCGCGAATCGCCATTAGTACGCTGCGAGGCAGAGAATTATCAGGGAATAATTGAAGGCACCCTCCGTACACACACGTTGATGGACGCGCGACGTTTCATTATCATCGCCGATATAATTACCCCCTCCCCCCTTCCGCCCCCGTTGCCTTTGTTACGAATTTTACAGAGGGAAAATTCACGTCGATCGCAGCTGGACGTCTCGTATTAATTTACGCCGGTCACGCGTGTAGAATATTTCCTCTTTTAATGTAACGCAACAAATGCGGTGTTCGATTAGATTTATCCTCTCGTCGATTAAATCGCGAATATAACGTATCCTGTACACCTGATAAACGTGCTCGAAGCGGAAATTTCAGCGTATCGTAAAAACTCTCCGTTCAATACAGTAAAGTCACGATTATCGGTACGACGCCGTTTAATCGACTGTCGATTAATTTCAGCGTTACGAATATTCGAACTCAATATTCGAACTTCTGTGCATGACAGAAACGCGTTTCAAATGGATTTTTATTAATACTTTTTATTAATACTTGGGTATATTACACAAAGTGTTACAAACTGTTCTTTCCGAAACCACTACAGACACCAATGAACTTGCGATTTGCCAGTGCTTCTTGGTTACCTCTTTAACGCCCAGACCCTTAAATCGTTATTTCAAAATTATGAGACATATGTATATTGTATCTTGTTATTTTGAAATCGAAAATTTCAATATTGAACGGACCCACGTTTTTAATTTTTTATATTTATTTTTGGGGGGAATACTAGAATTTCTTAACTGAAAACGAGATCTACAAATTATCAGTGAAATCACAGATCGTTGCTGATAAACGTTATATATTAATCGGTGACAGAATTTAACACACTTTTAAAATGAATGGTTGCATATGTGCTACACCGGACGTTAAGCTGCGTCTAAAATTTTCTTTTTAATTTATTTTTATATCCATAACCCCAAAATCCTGAGTAATTAACATCCCTGAACCGTTCGGTATAAAAAACAATCACGGTGATATCTGTAGTGGTCTCGGAAAAAACATGATTATGTAATTAATAATGATTTTTTTGTTTTTACCAGTTAGCATAACCGTAGTCTCACTGCAGAAGTTTTTATCAAAACGCATCTATAATAATGAGTGTAGTTTCTCTTAAACGAAATAATGGACTTTAGAAAATATAACAATTTATTCTTTTAATTTACAATTTATTCTTTTATAAAATCCACGGTCATCAGTGAATTAATTTAATTTTACCTTAGACCAAGTTTAATTCAAAGAATATTAATGCAACAATTTATTGAACAATGCAGGATTCAATTATTTAAATTCCCTTGGGATAACCTGATTCCTGGTTCGAAAGATCAACAACCGAAAGTCACGTTCGCGGGAAATAAATGGTACCCACGATCGATTCCAAGAGACTAAAAGAGCTCAAGGCAGAATTATGACGATGTCGAATGATGATTCCGCGATTTTGTTCTTCCGCAGTCAGTCCCTGCACGAAGAAATATTGCGGAGCTGGACGGGAATGCGAGATCTCGCCGAATGGCACCGTGGCCCTTTGTGTCTGTATGCGAAAATGTCCCCGAAGGCATCGACCGGTGTGCGCTAGCAATGGTCGAATCTATGCCAATCACTGCGAACTGCACAAAGCAGCATGCAACGGGGGATCGTCGTTGACTAGAAGCAGACTTATGAGATGTCTGCACCACGGTAAGAATACTAACGAAGGTACAGTCGACGATAAAGTAGCAGGGAGATAGTAAAACCAGCGAGATCATAAAAACAACACTTTTCGAGGATCTGAGCTAGCGGGTATTCTTGGATCTTGGTATATACCAAAACACTCCCAAGTTACAGTTCTGTATTTTCATCGTTCTGGTCGTAAACTGATCCCACGTAGCTACAGAAATATTATATGCAAATTTTACAACCTTTCCCTCGAACGTAATATCAAAAACGAATAGAATAATAAATATTTACAATAAGGGGACCACCTCTTATTTCAATGATTTTTTAATATGTTGTCAGGGTCATCACTCTGATTGTAAGTATAGTATTACGAAGGTTTTAGTTGGGGGTCGCCGTTAGTGAAAAAGCTATTATTAACAAAATTTAATATCGTGTTTTAGTAGTATTGATAAATAAAATGACTGATGACGGTGACTTTGAGATATGTTGTCAAGGTCACCCTGCTGAGCGACCTTCAGAAATGTTTAGTTATCAAATTTTGTTTATTAAAAAGTACTCAGTATATAAAAACTACTGACTTTAAAAACACTTGACATCATTTTTAAGTGATCGAATATTGGATTGTTGGTACTGAATAAGATTCCGAACATAATATACTTTTGCACACTCTATCGTGAAATTCATTTCACAGTGGTCTTTACAATTATTTGTTTTTCGGTAGATCTGAATATTCGTCATTCTTTGGTGAAGTTAGGAATTTTCAAACGGGTGTAATTATCATTTGTCGATATTATTATTTGAATAGCGGTAGAATTATTATTCAAATAAATTATTCGAATAAATAAGAATGAATTATTCCAATAATTAAAAAGAATAATTTATTGCAAAGAATAAATAATTATTATTTGAATAAAATATTGGACTAAAAAGAATTGTAAAAAAGACTAAAAAGAATTATTCGAATATTTACAGTCCTAGTTTCGACAAAATCGTTAACTTCTTCGCTGCAAAAAGGTAATGAAGACTCTTTGTTTCGGAACATCACTGATTGTAAAAGCATGATCCAATATGTAACTGTATGCAAGAATAAACGGTAAATATAGCAGACTTACGATTGAATCCCTCAGACATCGAAAACGCCCACATTCGAAGGACCATTCACGTGAACCGGACGTCAACAAAGGTCGGGCAGGTGATCACTTATCCCGGATCCAGAAATCGAAAGAAGGACAGCCCGAAAGACAACTCGATCCCGGAGAAAGATGATGACTCGGAGGAGCCGAACGAGTGCTCGAACCAAGAATACGAAATAATGAAGGTACGAACAAAACAATGCGGTCTGGCCATTCCACATTTCCGCAATTCTAACCGCGGCGTTGGATCCCTTGGAGAGCATGGTTTTCAGTAAACATTGCGCGTATCGTAGTAACAACTTGTTTCCACGGCGCAGGACAATTTGCTGTTGTACAACCACGCAAGATTAATGGCCCAGGACAACCATAGCAAGGAATATCTCGTCAGTATAATGTTTTCTCACTACGATCGAAATAACAACGGTAACTTGGAACGCGAGGAATTGGAACAGGTACCCTTTCATCCCCATTCTGTACGGTAATTGCTACGACCCCGTAGATCACGGAAAACGAGGATCTGGAGGACTTGTGCCGAGGCTGCAGTCTCGGCCACATGATCAGCTACGACGACACGGACGGGGATGGAAAACTGGACGTGAACGAGTTTTACATGGCGTTCAGTAAACTTTACAGTGAGTCTTTTCGTCCTTGCGCGGACTTGAAACTCGATGGGTTGCGTTCAGATGGGAATTTTGGTATCCTGAAAATTTCGATTTTTTTTTTAGACTCCGCAGGTTTGCAGGGGATAGAAGCAATTTTTCGTTTTTACTTGTACATATTCGGTTCTTTAGGGTGAAACCACACTCCTTAAAGGTTAACTCTTTCATTCCCACTGTTTTCATATGGCTAGGTATTCTAAATTACGAAATAAAATATTAGTAGCATGTACTTTTTTTTATATCTGTGAGTGTATAATAGTTTCTTTTAGTCTTGTGTAACTTCGAATGTGCATTTAAAAGCTTATCGGTGAAATAAGATATTCGTACTTTGTCTGTTTCATTTTATGGAATTCAAGTGTTCAACATTGTTATCACAGAAAGTTGTAGAACTCTAAATTCTGACAAATATTTCGGGAGGATTATTATAATATTATAATGGAAATTATTATACCTGTATAAATGTGATAAACGTAATAAAGAAAATTGTCAAATGGAAACGAATAGGAAATGACATTAGACAGTTTCAAAATATCAAAATGCAAAAAAATATTTCTTTGATAATTTCTAAATAATTTGGGAATGCAAGGGTTAATATAAGTTCTCCTATTTTCCTGTATAGCTTGAAGACTATAGCAGATACCAAAAAACTTTTACGATGAAAATGTAATGGCTTCTTACGCTCTATAAAATTCTGTAATGAAGTTGTTAAAAACGCGTTTGTTTATTAATTAATTTACTTAAAAAATGAATTTTCAACAATTTTGGTTACACACTTTTATAGAGTACAAAACCCATTAAATTTACATTCTAATAGCTTTCTTGATATCTACTATAGTTTTCAAGATATACAGGAAAATGGGAAAACACATACCTATTAACATTTAAGGGGTGCTTTCACTCTGAAAAACCGAATATCGGCAAAAATGAAAAATTACCCAATGCTTCTATCGAGGTCCCCTAGAAACCTGCGAAGTTTAAAAAAAAATTGTCATTTTTAAAGTATCAAAATTCCCTTGCCAGTGAACGAAAACGTTTTTGCCACAAGAAAACGATGGAGTTCGAAATTTCGACGCTTTCGTTACTCAACTTAACTTATCGTTTAATACCAGTTTCGTTTAAAGCTCTTTGACATATTGGTCTATTACCAAACCTACTAGAACCTAATCAGGTGTTCAGTTTCCCGTAATTGATCCTCCTCACCAGCGATATGTCCGATATTGCATCAACTAATGGCCACGGCCCAAAGCGTTCGTGAAACTAGCGCAATTATTTACAGGCGTCTCGGTGGTATCTCTCGACAAATCTCTCGAAGTGAATCACATCTCGGCCAGCGTGGGCGATAACATTGATATCAAGTGCGATGTCACCGGCACACCGCCGCCCCCATTAGTATGGCGGCGCAATGGGGCCGATCTGGAAACTTTGAACGAGCCCAAGGTACGATCGCCCCTGCTCTAATTACTTTTCCGAAAATAAAATAATCATCGTTCCATCGGTATCCATAAAACGAAAGTTCCTTCCATTTAATGACTCTTTTTCTTCCTCTTGTAGATCCGAGTTTTCAACGACGGCAGCCTTTATCTGACGAAAGTGCAGCTAATGCACGCTGGGAATTACACCTGTAACGCGATTAGAAATCAGGACGTTGTGCAAACGCACGTACTGACCATTCACAGTATGTTCCTCTCGCACTGTGTTACAGTTAGACTGCGGATTTTTATGAAAAATCACATTTTTTAAAGTTATTTATAAAGACAAAAAGAAAAGTTGGAATTCCTTAATTCTTCCCTTGAGTATCGTGTTGGGTTCAGAAGAAAATAGAAAACACGTTGCATCTGAATGAAAATTTTGTCTTTCGTTGTTCTTCACAGAACCCTATACCGCCCTCCTTAATTAAAATGTCCCGTCTAACGAATTATCATCTTTCAAAATTTTTCGAAACACGGAGCTACATGTATTTTTCACTTCTTAACACTAGAAAATTTTCAAAAGTTTTTCACGTTAGTTCAAGTGTTAATTAGTGTAAGTTTTTTTCTTGCGTACTCCGTAGGGCTCTGGAAACAGTTTAATTTATTTATCCTGACTGCTTTTCAGATGACTTTACTACTTTATATTATCCTATGCAACATTTTCTAAATTAGATAATCCTAATTGTAAGTCATCACTTACGTGTATGCCTCGATTATTTGTGTTTAAGCTGTGTGTGAAAAAGAAATAAATATAATTCAACACGTTTCCTACATTAAGATATCTCACGATAAAAATCAAGTACGACAGAAAGAAAACTCTAAAATCATATTTTTCTCCGATGTTTGAAACTGTTTGGACAATTGAGCTAAAGAGGGCAGTATAGAGTATAAATGCATAAAGGTGAGTATCCACTTGTAAGAAGTGGATACACACCTTAAATCTGCAGTCCAGTTATAGTTATCAAGCAGTCGTTCACAGTGTATTCCCTTCTGTTCAGCTGTCCCCGAGGTAAAAGTGACACCGGTTTTTCAATCGAAACGCTTGAAGGACGAGACAACCATAAAGTGTCATGTGGCCGGTGAACCACTTCCGCAGGTGCAGTGGCTGAAAAATGACGAGCCCTTGAACCACGATCAACCGGACAAATACAATGTCATTGGTAACGGTACGAAACTGATCATCAGGAATGTCGATTACGCTGATACTGGTGCCTACATGTGCCAAGCGAGCAGTATCGGTGGCGTCACCAGGGACATTAGCAGTTTGGTCGTTCAGGAGCAACCGACGCCGAGTAAGTAGCGACAATTGTAAAATATTGCCCTGAAAAGTACGTATGTCGTCGTGACCGATTCTGTTGGCCGTCTATTAACAAGATAATTTACAACGTGATTGTAACTTTAAAGAAATACATGGTGTCCCGCATAGCGTGAGCACCTTTAAAATAAATAAATAAATAAATCACAGTGATTTCCCGTTTAGCCACCGCTAGCGAGGAACGCAGGTTCTTCACATTCCACGAGTGGGGCATTTTGGTGTACGAGCCGTCCGCGTGTCGGCTACGACACGTAATTCGGTCCACTGACATTATTCCTGGTACTCAGGTGAGATCATTGAATTTTTATATACACTGCATGGCATAACTATGAAGCCATCTTGAAACCTTCAATTCTTATGTATTGTGGTCCGAATAAAGACGAACCAATGTTTGAAATCGTGTCTAGAAATAATGCTCCTTGAGAAAAGGATAGATTATATTCCGTAGAAAGAAAAATGGTTCGTTTTCATTTTAATCACAATACATGAAGATTGAAATCTTACATTATGCCACACAGTGTATAATATAATTATAATCAACTAGTTTGTGTAGGGACAATTAATAGAAAACTTCTACTTATTTCTTAATTCTATGCCCTAGGAACACGTCTGCGGAGTCATGGGCGTCCCTTGCTCTTGGGGCCAAGCGATAAACGTAGCAAGTCGATACGTCTATGTCAGCCAGCCAGACAAAGACCGGGTGCTCGTTATCAGCGAGATACAGATGGTGGTCGTCGACGTACGTAAAACAATACCTATTTTTCGTCTGTCCAATTGAAGGAAATTAATGTGAATGCGTTTGTATAGGTGATACCCACCGATAAAAAGCCTGTCCAGCTTTGGTACGTCCCCTTTCTCGATCAGGTGTGGGTCTTGAATTGGCGAAGCGAAGAGGATATCGGTGTGAAAACCGTGCAAGTGATCGAGGACGCCAGTCAGAAGAAGAAACACCAAGCCATCCGACCGGAGCCCATCGATGCGCAGTTCGACATTATCCAAAACATTTATATTCCTGAGCCACAGGTAGGTCGATGGTCTACACCTGAGCCACAAGTTTCGATGGTCTACCCCTTACGCGATTGAAGCTGAATCATTGAAAAACAGTGGTCCGCAGCAATAACACGATGCTTAACATTTTTTAGAAATCTCCTTTAGAAGGCTCCTCAGCACTGATAAGGAGAGGTCCTCGGTGTAACGCTGACTTTTTAATGTGGCCTGGCACAATGATCGAGCTTGAAATTCTGAACCCAATGATATTTGTTTGAGTCGTATGTGGTCATTGGTTTATGAAATCTTTCATGTTCAATGCCAAGGAGCCTTCGAATACTCATCGATGATTTACTGTAATCTTATTCTAAATTTGAAATTCAATAATAGCATACTTTTGAGAACACTCTGGCAGTATGTATACCCACGAGCAAACTCGGCTTTCGTTAAGGGGAAAAAGTGACGTAAGGGAAGGGCCTCCTACCACTTGGTAAATTGATTTCAAGTACTAAAATAAATAATCATAATATTTTAATGATTCCCGAAACCAAATTGTAGGAGGTCCTTCCCCTACGTTACTTTTTCTTCTAGTGGAAGCCAAGTTTGCTCGTCGGTATACCTGCAAGATGTTTCGACATCTGAGTATTAAAACAGTAAATCAGCCTATGAAATTCGTGTCGATTTATAATCAATATTTAAATTAATATTTAATAAATGACTTTAAGTTCTCCAAGAAAGGGTGACTAAACACCTCCCCCAAAGCTATTTCCCAATTCTCTTGGTGGAACAGTTATGCTATCACCACCGCGATATTTGTGCCGCGATGATTAAAATGGAACGGCCTCGTGTATCTTTCGAATATTTCAGGACATCGAGGATACATTCAAGTACGGTTACGTGAGTCACACGAACCAACGGAGCATGTACAAGCTGGACCTGAAAAACATGAAGTACACACGAAGCGCCGATTTGAGTTCTTACAATTGTGTCCCGGTGAATGTTCAATTTTCGGTTCTCTGTAAGTATGTCATTCGTGGCTACTGTTCACTTAATTGTATCCGCCATAAATTCGTATATAAATCCCACTGTATTCTAGACGGTTTCGTCATAATCGAGTGTCAGGAGCCGATTACCAATCGTCCAACGGGTCAACTGTTATTAGACTACCTCACCGACACCGTCCTAGCTCACAAACCGAATCTCCTGGGAAGACCGACAATCTCGCCTGATTCCAGACACCTTGTCACTTTGGCCAAGCAGAATTCAGGGGTGACGCTCGTTGTACAAGAAATATCACGTAATTCTTAATTATTTTCCTATAATTTTGCACAAGTTAGTTATTGGCAACTAATCAATGGCAGCTGTTTTTCTTTCCAGCTGATGGATTAAACTTCGCGTTTGACGTGAAAACAACGTTAAATATCAGTGACATTGCGCTCTATCCATCGCAGACGACCCACGGCTACGATATCTACGCGTCGTCCATTGATAAAGAGGACATCCTTTTCCTCGACCTCTCTACTGGTGAGATTTCATACTCTAATTCCTTGTTTTTTACGTTTTTAAAATCCTGCAGTTTACTTAGACACAGCCATGAACAGAGGCACTCCTTAAATCTATTCTAAAATAATGTAAGAAAGTTTATTTTACTACCACATTTGACCTTGCATGACCTTCAATGATAGCTCGCTGAACCTAGCCCAGACCTAACACCGGCTATCACATCGCGATAAAAAAAAACATAGCATTCCATTAAAAAAAATAGAGATGACCTTGAAATCTCCCCTATGCCTTCACCCACGCAGAAAATGTTTGTTTCACAATATGCCCCCCTCTATACCGTGTAAGTTTTGTATATAACATTTTATCATATTATTACAAACAGCAATATTCAAAGTGGACATAGTTATTGCCCCACCCTGTATATACACGTATACATTCATAAGTCTAGTACCGTCATTATAACCACAATAGTGTCTAAATGATCCTGAAGAGAACCACACCGCTTGACACCCAACTGTCAGTTTACCTTTCTTCTCTTTTAGGCAAAGTGGAAATGATAACCGGCGTAGGAAAAGCCGCGCCAGCAAATTTAACCAAATGGGGCAATCCGAATAGACCGATCGTACAAAGCGGCATATTCGGCAAGTACATGGTCAGCCCGTCGAACGATGCGTTGTTCGTCCTGAACGGAGAGACTAGAACAATAAACTGCGAGATCGGCGGCTTGGTACATCCCGGGTCAGTGGTATGGTTCACAGTGTCTTCGCATTAAAGAACCGAGAAAATATTTGTTCGGCCAACGATACACACACAGAACGTTTAGATGTAGTCGAAGAAACTAAATAGACCGCGCGCCGGAAACACGGATGGCGAACGAGAACATGTACGATGGTATCACCGCGTTGTTCGATCGATAAGAATTAGTACATATACGATTGTAGCATTTCCTTTTGTTCGGATTAGAAGAAGGAACGGTTGAAAGAAATTTTGAGAAATATATTCTAACACCAACACCATTAACTCGTGGTTAAATCGTTGAATCGTTAAAAGAACGGTTTTTTTTTCCGCGGATACGACGCGCTCGTCCAACAATTTGCGACACGTATTTTTTGGACACCATCGTCGAGCAGCGTGTACGGAACACAATTTATCATCGTTAAAACGAAGAATTACGCGCGAACAATTTGTCGCGGAACATTATCGATAAGACTTTTTAATGTACATACCAAAGATCATCTTTTACATGAATATTTAACGTATCCTAATCGTTACCCTACCGGTGGCCTTAGTTTCCCTCGAGTTTGCATATCCTTCTCCGTCTTTGTATCTACATACGTCGACTTTTTTCGGATGAATTTTTTCGATGGCTATAAACGGTACAATTAGTTTTCCAAGATAGTCATCTTAGAGTATTCTTTAATATCATATCCGACACGACCTATAACGGTGAGGTACACGAAGTATCACAGGGCAACACCTCTGAAAATATTCAAGATATCAGAAGATGTTGTTAGACTAAGTGAGAGTGTTTCGGGAGGTACAATTGTTATCTAATATCTTTAGACTCGACAGCACCTACATCGACAAGTTTGTTTTTTTTTTTTAGTACAAAAAGAAAATATCGTTGGAAGGCGTGTCTTCCAAAAAGATTCATAAGTTTATTTAATAACATTTTGTCGATATCATTATATTTCAGGATATTTACTCATCCGTTCTTTGTGCACCTCACCAAAGCTCGATTCAACTGACGCCTGAACAAAATTTCGGGAGACTGACCAAATTGTATTTGCGATATTCTGAAATCCCTTTAAAAACGACCGTAAGAATCAATAGGTTATTGCCAATAATTCGTTCCCAAATTGTAAATGTTGTCTGACTAATTAGACAAATTAATAGCAACGAGCTCACTCGATCCGAGTGAATACGGAAACATTGTGCGGATTACAGTTACCTCTAGCCGTTCAAGAGTCTAGTTCAATCTACGATCAATTTAAACACGATCCGATCTCGCGATTTTTACAATTATTTTTTCAATCGATTTTTGAAAACGTCTCGACGGACATTATAATACAGTTATCGGATCACAGGACAGCACACTGACAACGGGTATGATGATTGATTATGTATTATACGCATGCGTGTGTCGTGTGTGTGCGTGTGAATACGAATATTACGTATTATTATTATATATATATTATATATATATAATAATATAACAAGTAGAATGGATATCTTGTAATAAAATTACAACAAAACTAATTTAATAAATAATCTGCAAATACAACGTTCATTTTTGCTACACAATGTACATGCAGATTACAACCGTTCGGGTAAAAGGAGAAAAGAAAAACAATGATACAGCGAATGATTACATTCTGTCGTTAAACGGGCATGTTTTTAAGTGTCTTCTAGTCGAAACGATCACCTTTGATTTGCTAATAAATTACGTCTGTTCAAATTCCTGGAGTCTACGTTTAATCACCTACTGTACAATCTTGACGCTTGTTTACACATTTATTAGCCGGTATAAATACACTCAGTCCTTCTCCCATATATATATATATATATATATATATATATATGTACTGGACCGGACACAGAATCTGTTTTCACAATTGAACATTATCGACGATCTAACGACCGCAAAAAAGAACATCTTTCGTGTATACAACAAATGGTCACCGAAAGAAACGCATGTCCTATAGTTAATGATATTTGACAGTCAGCAAATTGACACGTTTATTAGATCGTACACGCGGGGCACTGCCTGTAAGATGTTCGCAAGAGATTTTTCCAAACAGCTAGAAATGGGAGAACGCGCGCAGGGAAGGAGAAGAGACACGAAGGAGACTGGCCATGAGCAGATCAACAGGAAAAATAGATAGTCACATTTGTGAACAGTCTTCCTTCAATACGATGCAGTTCGGTAAACGCGTGATCGCAACACCTAGGAAACCTCCACTTTAACTGCCTATAAATCATTCCTTTCCCCACTCTTTCCGTCTCACTGACACTTTTCCAGGTTCGCCAGGTTCTTTGATTCAGCACTGGTTATATATTGCACGGTTTTAAATTGGTCCCTTGCCGACTGTAGAAAAGTATATAAGCATTGCTAAAATCTTCCTCCTGAGGCTTCTGTCTGCTTGTGATTTCGTCGTTGTAGTAGTACCACGCGTCTGTACGAGGGTTCTTCGCGTACGCCGTGTAGTGCCCAGCCGATACTCCTACAAATAATTAGCAGACACTTTTTAATTCAAGGTCAGTTAATATTTATGCAAACCAAAATGTGAAAATGAGTTTCGATTTTTCTAAATGTTTTCACGCGAAGTGAAGATACTTTCGTTAAAAAAAAAACAGAATAGTTGAATGGCTCTCTGATGGACTGGGAAATAAAAAAAAAAAACAAATTCAAATAAAACAACGGATACATACCTCCAAAATGACAAACACAGGCATAGAGGTCATATAAGTGTCGACCGACACTCAAGCCAACCAAAGGGAATGTCACTTTATCGTCTAACTTCATACTAGCACACTCATAAAAGACAAATCTGCAATATACATCGATAGAGAAAATTATTGAACTATTATTAAAATGATATGTAAACAAGTTTTTATACGATTAAAAGTATACGTACCGCTTCAAATAAACTATGAGGAACTTGGGATATCTGTGAACCATGAGCGTTTTCGTGGCGCACTGATTTCGTTCGCACTTTGGACAAAACCAAGGATTATGTTCATCTAACGTTTCGCTAAAAATGTACAGAAATTATTTATGTAAATCAGTGTTTGGACTTAAGGACATTAAAGTACACGCTATTAAAAAGCACCAATGAACACATCCTTAGGTAAAGATGCACAAGTAACTTTTACCTAGCAGTTGTAAAAGCATTTCATTGCAAAAGATATATTTTGTTTCTCGTAGAGTTGCCTTCATTAATATTGTCTACCTTACAATAAACATAAATTGACACTATAATTACATGTAAAATATACCTCTGGCTAAATGCTTGAAGACAGTCGTATAAAGACAACGGATGATACGGCCTCTGCTTGCTAACGCTGACATGTTCAATCAGAGGTGCAATCTTAGGAACATGTTCTGTGTAACGCACAGCTAGAGTGTCTCCATTTTGTAAGGCAATCATGCCGATATCAGCCACATTACAACCTGTACAGTGCGCAGTATAGATACAACGAGAACAATGATGGCCCTGCAGAGAAACATTTTCATTATTCTTCAATCGTCCCTTTTATGTATACGATTATTCGAATTGTTTATGAATTCGTCAATGTTCATAAGGATAATTGATCATGCCATTCTAACCTGGCCAGTAACAAAATGAATCGTGTAATCCCCTTCTTGCGGTACGTTTCTTTTAACAATGTCATACAGGTCCTTAGCATTCACTCTTGAAGGTAACCTCACTAAATGCGGATAACCGAAAAGTTTCGTTCCTTTACGGTTGTTCGTCGTTTCATTCGTCGTGTCGTGCCGTAAGACCAGCGGTACATTTAAGATTCTAACAGCAGGCCTCTGTCGGCCTGTTTGATCAATTTTAATAAAGGCTGACGCAGTTATGTACGTTGGACACATTGGACACAATTGAGGTTCTGTGTGATCCTTGAAGTAATTCTGTAAAATCAAACATGTACCGATAATAAATTATACTTTATCAGGTTTGTACGTATTAAATATACGTTCCTTTCATTTTATGTACACATAAGGTATAAAATTATATAGCTCTTTTCTAAATATATTACATACAGTTGCAAATTGTTTCTACGTAATTATACTACACTTAGAACATTAAAGATAAACATATACATAATGATTGAGCAAATGTGTACACTCCTAATCAGTAGTATGGTACCCTCAGTACACGGCAGCCTCAGATTAGTCTGAATTGAGTTCCAGAACATAAATGTTCTGGCTTGCGGATTGTACTCAAATAGCGAATCATACGGGTTTCCATCTTTACATTACCAAGCACCTCAGCTTCTAATGAAGCTTCCCCGGCTAATTAATAACGCAAAGCTGTTTCTGGTTCCCGTACGTACCCTTATGGTACCGTCCGGCTAGAACGTGCAAGGATTTTATCTCAGACCTTCCCGGGGTGAAATAGTGGTAACCGAGTACCTTGCATGCACACCCCTACCGCTAGATTGAAGCTGCCGTTTTCATCATTGGGTTTTCACGAACAAATTGTTATTCTAAAGCATCGCGACAATAATAAAAAACAATCGAGCGATCAAGTTAAAGAAAAAACAAAAATGTGTAATACGATGTATGATCAATAGTAAATAATAGAATGAAGAAACTCACCTCGATACAGTTATCACACATGATAAAATTACATGTATGTCCGATATGCCTCTTCAAATCTCCGTCCAATTCCTCGAGACAAATCGTACATGAAACTTCCTCTCCCGTGATTGCAGACTTCTGACAGGCGTCAGTGTCCATCACACGATCTCCACCACCATCTGGCACTGAAGTATACGCGTCAGGTGGTTCCGTGAGTTCAAAGGCGTATATAGATCGATTCGTGTCATTGATGTGTCTCAAGAGTATATTGTCATCCTTAAATTTAAAACCTTGATGTACAATCCAACAGTGACATTTCCGTCTAGTGCGATAAGCTACAGCAAGCAATGTACGTAAGTCTCGATACCTACGGTGCAAGGGTAAAATAATATAGAAGAGAAACCGTGGCCACCATTTACGGCCAAAAAACAAAGGGCATGCACGACAAGAGACAAAATCGAGAACGCATGTCGTAGAAACAAGAACGACGAAGAAGATTGTACGATGGACTGTAGCCTCGTAACTAATGCTTTACGCTACGAGAGTGTTCTTCCATAATGTTTGCTCTTGGAGGGTAGTATCAACGATCATCGAGACTACTCGACAAGCCGTCTTCTTCACCCTCCATAATTGTTCTCTTACGAAGCTTAAAGACTCACGCACCATTATCCCGTAAGATCAAACATAAAACTAAACTTGGTTTCTAATGAAGTTCAATATACTATAAACTACCTGTTCATGAAATCATTCAATTACACAGATCAATCGACTGGCTTGCAGATTTATATGAAAATAATATACACATCAAGTCGATAAATCATATAAAAAATTTTTGAGAACTCATGAACTCATGAACTTGACTAAATCGTATTAAAAACGTGTACGTACATATTTGATACATATAACTATTTACTAAATACTCTTCTCCAATGCTTACCAAAATCTTTGATATATGATTTTCTAAGACTTCTGCAAGTGCAATATTTGCCACCGCTATGTTTTCCTTGCCAAGTGTCTTCAGCAATTCCTCCTTCAATTTTCCAATACGTGCTTGCTTGTTTAATGAAACGACGCACTTTATAGGTTGCTCGCCATTTGCCGGAACATACGTGACATTCAGTTGCCGTTCCATTGCATGAGGCAGTGGCACTGACAAATACATGAAAGGCTCGTATGTGACTGAAACGTGCTTACACACTGCACAGACAACCTACAAGTAAAATGGAAACATTCATGTCTGAGAAATTATAAAACTCTCAATTTACGTTGAACGATCGAGATGGAAAATTTTCGAGCGAATATGTATGAGTAAAATGAGTCCTGCTTTTTACACTTCACAAAGCAAGAAGGTATAAATACTAAATTTTAATATTGGAGACGACATTTGACGGTAAAAACTAATTATGTAAGACATTACCCCAACGGCTAGTCTCCATGAGAAATATAATATTAGACTGTCCAGACATTACCTTGCTTTTAAATTGTCCCTGGAAAGTGTCAACAATTATACTCCTATTAGATCTCAAGTGTTTTGCCCAATGTTTATCCGCTTCGATCTCATCTTGCGCAGCTATAGCACCATTACCGTTACTTTGACAAACCCGTGTGCACTGAGAACTAATGCTTCCAAGCCCATCGCGTTTATGATTCTTCTCCTGATCATCTAGCCTCATGCGTTTCACATTACATTTCTCTAAACCATTGTCATATTCTATGTCGGAACCGCTCGATGCGTAATCCACGCCGAAATTGACTTTTTGAACGTTAACCTCTTTTATTCTTTTAACACTGACGCTTTTATTGTCGAAATCATGATTCTCCATTAAATTCGAGTTATCCAACGGCATTCTACGGACATTCTCTTTCGGATACTTCTGTGAATCATAATGAATCTCATTGTTGCATTCCTGTTGCGTAACTAAGAAGTTCGCGTTGCTAGTTTTCGCTTCTTTATGAATATCATAAAGACCGTGATACTTGGGAACGTTTTTCGAAAGTTCTATCAATGTGTCTAGCCTTAACGAAGGAGCGACTTCATTCTCCTTTCCATCAACTTTGTTATGAATAAAACTGTTTGATTTTCCTTCAACTATTTCATCGGAATCGAGCGTCTCTTCATCATCATCGCCGTCGTTCAAAGGTGATCCCCGGGGTGAATTCGCAGTACTGTTTAACTCGCCTATTGGTGAATCTAAATCTGAAGGGTAACGTTTATTACATAATCTATTATGATGAATGTCGTATTAAATTATAGATTGCATTAAATGTATTTACCTCTGGGTGAGCCAGCCATTGTTACATTAGGACTATTAGGACATTCTGGGGATGGCAGACAATCGTACATCTCCAACAAGTCCGAGTTACAATTGGAATTACTAGTGGCAGTAATTGGAGACATAGTTTTCCCATTTGAATTCTCAACTGTATTGATCGAGTTGGCAGTAGTTGTAGATGAAGGAGTTTCGCAATTCTTTGTACACTTTGCAGTATTCATTTGTTCATGTAAGGAATCCAATAGAAGAGCCAGAAATTCCTGACAGTCGTGCTGTGAATAATTGCGATCATTGTTAAAATCTTATTTGTATTCTTTCCTTTAACAATTAAATCAGTTTACAGGTGATGATATAAGTTTACCTGTCTGTAATCTTTAAATTGTGAATGATAAGCCCCTAAAGTTTGTTTAAATTCAATAGGCCTGAGAACACTGTATCTACCAGACCACATTTTGCTGAGTAGTACACTAAAATGTGCCATCAGTGATTCAGGAGGAGGTAGTTTCTCCCCTCTTTGCTGCAAATCCAAAAAATGTTGCAAGACGGGTGGGGTTGCAGTTAAACATTGTAAACCAGCAGCCATAAAGCAGGTATTACCGAGATTACGAAGACCACATACACCTGCACGTAACAATGCATCTTCTGAAAGTACAGGCACAGACGATACATTACTTTGTTGAAAACTCATCTGCAAATCTAGACATTAAACTTATATAAAAAGATAAATACCCATTGGTGAATCATCTTGAGAATCACCACCTTCTGAAAACAAGTTGTTTAAAGCTGGTGTACCAGGTGGTAAAAATGGACCATGCTCTATACCAATTCCACTATCGCCAATAGAATCTGCACCAACATCGGTGAAATCACCTAAACCAGGTGGCGGTGGTAGTGGAATGGCATAATCTGATGTTGAACTGTTTGCTTCAGCCCTACAGTAAAATAAAATGAATAACATAATTTGCATATTGTTTGTAACACTGAAGTTTGTATAAATGTATTTATTCTTTACCATGATTCTTCTAAGCGCATGTTAACTTCAGATGAAAGTAATTTATCGTCTTGGAGATTAAGTGTATGATCTAAGGAAGACGTTAATGGACTGAGACCAGTAGATTCTACTTCTACTATTAATGTCTCTGATATCTCTGGATATTCAGGTAGGTCAAAGATTTCAGGTGATCCGATCATTGAAATATTTTCTACTTCTGAGATGTTGACCTTATTGTCCATTCAGATAATAAAATTGAAGATATTACCTAAAAGTATAATTATAACAGAAAAAAGAATTAACCATAACTAGCAGCACATATTAAATTTATATCTAATGTAAGCACAAGGACATTAGTTTTATTAAATATATATTTCTCCATGTGATTTCAGTTATTAAAGTGTTATATATAAATAAAGAAGAACAGAAGAGAGCTAATGATTTTCTCAAATAAGAAATATAATGTATGTATTAGAATTATTATACAAACACAATAATGATAATCAAAAAATATATTAAACATAACTTGTACAATATTGTACTATAAAAGATGTGTTTAACATAATAAACAGAAACACACAGTGTGATCTCATTATTGATATTTTTGATTTCCTTTACCCTTTTTAACACACAATGCACAAAGCATTGTCTAATAATCTTCTATTAATATTAGACTCAACAATACATAAATGGACAAAAATACACATGTTACGTAGCGCACCTGAAATAGTTGAAGTTAAAAATTCTATGAATTACAGTTAAATTAGACAGAATAATCGAAAAATTCTTAAAATTGTCCTAACCTAAGATGTCGAGGGCGATTACCGCGAATTCTTTGGCGTCCTATACTCATAAGGCGGCAAAATCTTAGAGTAATAATTGTTACAGGTAACCCGCGTTTTTTTATTTTTCACGGGTAGGATTAAGTTTTATTGCCTAACACACTGATCAATATGGAAGAAACTGAATTCTGGTAGCTATAAAAGTACAACTATTTAGACCTTACCCACTCAAATCGTGATCATCCTGTAAACGTTGCAACAGTACAAATTGTGTATAAATATTCACACGAATGCACAGCGTTACGTGATTAACATAGGTACGTAAAGAAGAATAAATGAGGTATATACAATGTTCACTTACTTTGCAGAAAATCCACTGTATTCTCAGTGAAATACCTATACCGCCATTGCTGTAAACGGCATGGTCAATGGATGCGCTGAAAAAGGAAGATTCACTCGCGCCGCCTCAGGAAGTCGGCATATTTTTCAAGCCGGAATGTGTGCACACCAGTGCACACCAATGCTCCCTGCTTGCTAGGGGAATTACATTTGCCCGCTTTAATTTAATATGCCCCCCTCTATACCGTGTAAGTTTTGTATATAACATTTTTTCATATTATTACAAATAACGGCATATTCAAAGTGGACATAGTTATTGCCCCACTCTGTATATGTCTATGCACGCATATATGAATGGAGAATATAACACTTCATTTGTGCTAATAATACTCTAAATTCATGCTTTATCGGTAACGTCGGATATTGGTACTAAAATGGTAATAGGGCTACGTACCCTCCGAACGTGGAACAGAAAAAAGCATTAGATGATAGGTCTATTCTGTACCTAGTCTGTGGACAAAACTTTGCATATCCCAAGATTAATTCTAATACGATTCAAATTTCCTTCTTTTGTGTTTCCTTATGAAACACAACGATTAACGCTGTATGCGACTAATTACACTAAGAGTCACCTATCTACAATCACTTATGTCTTAGCAATAGTAGTCTTTAAGATCGACGCGTTTTAACGCTGACAAATCACTTCCCATTGGTACTGATTGGTACCCGGTTGCAAGAAAAGCTCGTGTAATTGGTCGGTGTGCGGCGTGCTTACTTGAACGCGACCTATCGGAGCGCTCTCTTGCGTTTACTAACGCAATATAAGGATGCATGTAAGAAGGTTGCTTTGTTAACGTTGGCGTCACCGCTAAACAGTTCTTCCGTTGACGAGGCAGAGGAATTGAGCTTCGGTAGTTCTTTTTTTATCGCTTTGAGCGTCTTTCACGGACACTGTGTTATCGTGCACCAAGTTGATGACTCGATTGCGCGACGGTCAGTGAGATAGTGCAATAAAGGAGATCGAATATTGTGAGAAAATGTCAACGAAAGCAGCGAAGAAGACCGCGTCGACGAGCTCAAGCAGCAATGTGCAGTCGCCACAATTCACGTCAACGCCGATCGGCCAAAGGCCGGGCAGTCCTTTAAGCCCGACCCGTTATTCTCGTCTCCAAGAGAAAAACGATTTACAGAATCTGAACGATCGACTGGCTTGTTATATTGACAAAGTACGACACCTGGAAACGGAGAATTCCAGACTGTCGCGGGAGGTTGAAACCACCAAGGAGACTATCACCCGCGAGGTATCCAACATAAAGTTGATGTACGACCATGAATTATCCGATGCGAGAAAACTGTTAGATGACACAGCGAAAGAACGAGCGAAACTCGAGATTGATACAAAACGATTATGGGACCACAATGAGGAACTTAAAACCAAGTAAGTCTCTCCTTGCATCTCGATTCGTATGCCTCTTGCGAGGATTAAGCGCCTCAAATCTATTAGCCTGTGCAAACTCGATTTCTATGGGATGGGTCGGAGACTGTTACAGAATTCATATTTGATGAAATATATTAGTTTGAACTGTTAGTACCGGTTACCACGGATTTTTACACACTGTGTATAATAACTTATACTTTCTGCATACTTTGTATGTATCCGTGGATACCATACGCATTCTTTTGTTTTATTTCGATATCCTGCAGTCTACTGATCCCACGTTTTTTTTTTTGTTAAAGAGTGTAACCAAATATTCATACGTTAAATCTTGAATTGTAGAAACACTATTAGTATTATTTATTGATATCTATGGATGTGTATACATTATTGATATCTATGATTAAAATATACATATGTATGTGTCAAGGATATACAGTATTCATGTACATACATATGTGTATACCTCTAGAGTTCAGTAAAGCAGTTTATACAAAACTTTTTCTGTCTATGAGATCACCGTAACTTCAATGTGTGTTTCTATGCTTAATGTAGATGTTTGTGCGTATTTGTAAAATGTGTATTAGATTTTTTTATGTAAATAGATCTTATGATAAGGGAAGTTACATTAAATATGGTTCTTCAAATTAGTGAATATTATGGAAATTAAAATGTGTAAATGTATATAAGACATTAGAGCAAACTTAGAAAGTTAAAGATTACTTTTTTGGTGTGGTAATTAATAATTTTTAATTTTTAATTCCATCAGTTTCAAACCTTATATTACAGGTCCATTTTAAATGCTATTTTTAAGTATGCTATTTACATGCTATTTTTGTTTACATCATGAATAAAATTAGGGGTAGAATCATTAAATATTTACACTTATAACGATTACAGCATCAATATATTTACATTTTAGGAATATTATTGTGATTTCCTATTTCTATAAGTAATTGTATTACTAATATAAAAGTGCCTCCATAAATATTTAATGAAGTGCACATAACTATTTACTATGGGTACCAGCATTGGCCTAATAGGTGTTAATGAAAAATCATAGTCTTCTAGATCAGTTTTAGTATTTAAATTTTTTAAATAAAATTTTGACAGCATAAAAGTTTTAATTATTTTAAAGTAAACAAAACACAATTTTTGGAGTATTTTTGCCAGAATAAAGACATGAAGCAAGTGGTTAAATTTTTTTTAATATGCCAGACGTGAAAGGCACTTTCACATAAGAGCAATAATGTGAGCGAGACATTCATTCAAAGAATCGCGGCTTACGTTTTATCGGAACGAACGTGTAGGTATTCTCGTCAGTGCATTTCCATGATAGATATGGAATGATAAGAATTTCCAAGGTATACTAATGCATTATATTGGTGATTTATAACGTACACAGAAAGGAAAATGTATTGCAAGTATACTGCTATATCTGCACTGCGTCACCTAGTATGACTATGTTGTTGGTTATAATAGAAAAAATGTATAAAGTACCGAAAGTTCCATAAAAGGGCGCTAGTAAAAAAATTTTAGAATATTTGGGTGTGCCTAACTTGAAACGTGACGTTACTACGACCGGTTGCGTCACGCTTACTATGCGGTTGGTGATGTCATCTGAAGCGCGTGTATAACCTCGACTGAAAACATTGACCTCCTTTCGACGAGTGTTGAGCAATCGATAAAAATACGAGTAGAATCCTGAAACCAGCGGGAAATATTCTCTGGCGATCAATGAAGCGAAGGACAAAATTAACAAAACCATACGCTTTTTTAACAAACCAAAATTGTACCCAATACGTATCCGATGCATTTGATTCAAAATTTGATTCCTCGTCATTTACATCTATTTGCATTTTACATTATAACTGAAAATTTAGGTAACGTTATATTTTGTTAAAATAAACATTTATAAGTTAAAACCGGTATTATTTTTGTTCAGTCAATCGAAATAATACCAAAGACAATACAATCCTAAATCTGAAATAATTACTGGTATTGTAGGCGATTCAATAGAATGAACGTTGAACCGAATCTCAAACAGGCCTTGCGATGTCGCGGCGATCCGTCAACACATACATACACCCTGATCTATGTATATATAATTATTATATATAAATACGCGTGAATTGCTGCGGGACAGACAGGTTATCGGTAGCGAAAAGACACGAAGCACGCGACAACACGTTCCCAACGATATTCACGCATCCAAAAAACTGTTACCGCTCTTATAAATCAAAAAAATAAAGATTAACCAGTTTGCCCGTGAAAAGTGCTTTCGCAGATTGAAATTATATCCAAACACCTCCTCTACAGTATCTTTTCTATATTTTATCTCTGTAAAATTTTGTAATTTATGATCCGCCTTAATTGAATACAATGTATATAAAGTTTATAAACATATACTAATGAAATGGACCATAAGTCATAAATTCAACCAGAGTTACGAAAGAGTAGTGAACTAAACAAATGTTTGTTTCTCTTTGCATACAACTTGTTGCACGTGCAATACAAGAAAACATTTTATTATCTTCACGTGTGTGTTTGCGTTTATGATACGTTCGGGTAGAATAATATTTTGAAAATTGTAATAAAGCGAGAATACCGGAAAAAATATCCATGCCGATTCCAGGTTGAAGGCGTGGGAGGGGCCATCTTGGTTGACGCCGCTGGGGGTTCTGCCAACGAATACCCCCTGCCTTATTCACTTTTTTGTTTCACGAAGTCGACTCTTCATTAAAATCTCTAGATCTACCCAAAAGATTCAAACTTTTCAGTTTTAAACAAAACATTCTTACTTCTTTTGTTTACAACCTTGTTAACTCTTTCTTTTAAATTTACGATAATACATAACGATTTAAAAAAAATAGTTCTGTTATCACGCCAATAGCGTTGTATGAAATGAATATGCGATGGCAACCTTGCGTCTGTAACAGTAAAAAAAAAGGGACGTTCTCGTAAAAGGAATGACGTTAGTGACAGGACGCGCGCACGTCCTCGTATGAAGGAACAAACTTGGTATTTCTCAAGGAACAATTTCGTCGCACGTAAAATTTATGTTCAACTCCTGAATTTTTGTTATTGTTACGCAAGTTCCAATTCTGTGTTAAGCGTTTGCGTTTAATGTTTACCTTACTCATTCTTACATTTATCATTATTTTTGTATTACGTAAATGTTTCACGCAACACTGAAACATTATAGTCAGTTTTTTTCTTCTTTTTCTTTAAGCAGTATTGATAGATAATATTGATAGGTTTTAGGTTTTAGGATAACGAAATATTAAGACGACTCGGGACAGTACGGCAGAAAATAAAATTCTCGATGTGGGTCGCTGCCTGAAATAGAAACACGCGAGCTTACCTCTTCTTCACGACTGCCGGAATGTAGTAAACGATCGAAATTCTGTGAAAGTATTCCTTTTGTGTACGATTTAAGACACTTATAGAATTTTGTTTCGCTCGAAATCAATGTAAAATGTGCTTAATGATTTATATTAGTCATTCATTATTATTTAGTATATGTAAACAAAATTACGGGAAAAAATTATTCCAACAGATTGATAGGTCTAATACTTCAACAGTTTTGTTTCACATTCATTTTATTAATGGTTAAAAAATTAGCACATAATAATATTAAATATATTACATTATATTAAATCTTGTAATTATTTGATTTGTTTCAGATTAGATAAAAAACTAGTGGACTTGCAAATTGCAGAAAAAAATTTAATGCTGTATGAAACACGTTACAATGATTTGCAGTCTCAATATAATCAGTCCCAAGCAGAACGTAAAAGGCTTACTGATAGAGAAAAAGAATTGGAGGAGGAGGTAGAAAAGTTAAAAGAATTATTAGAAGATGCTCGTAAACATCTTAGCGAAGAAACTTTACAGCGTATTGTTCTTGAAAATAATATTCAAAGTTTGAAAGAAGATATTAGTTTCAAAGATCAAATTTACCAACAAGAGTTAACAGAGACAAGGTCAAAACGACAGGTTGGTATTTTGAAGTTCAAAAATATAAGTTAATATTATATTTTTATGACTACATATATAAATTTTATTTAAATTGTATCTGTTTCCACTATATGCATAAAGATTTATTTCGTTTCTAATATATTTCAGATTGACATCTCTGAGATAGACGGTCGCCTTGCTGAACAGTATGAAGCTAAGTTACAGCAATCTTTGCAAGAATTACGCGATCAGTATGAGGCACAGATGAGAGTAAACAGAGATGAGATCGAGATGTTATACGAAAATAAAATTAAAAACTTGACAGCTCATGCTCAGCGTAACAGCGGAGCTGCTAGTCGAGCTGTTGAGGAGTTGAGTCAAACGAAAAGAAGGGTCGAAGGCCTTAGTCAACAGATTAATGAGCTTGAAGGATCCAATAATGCTCTCAATGCACGAATCAGGTATTATTTATAGAAAACATATAATGTCGTCTCATTAAATCATTGTATAACTTCATAGTCTCATATAATTGTTTATACAGGGATTTAGAAAAGCTACGTGAAAATGAGAAGACACGTTATGCAGAAACTTTGGCATCCTTGGAAGCAGAGTTATCACGTCTGCGTAACGAGATGGCTCAACAACTACAAGAATATCAAGATCTCATGGATATTAAAGTAGCTCTCGATTTGGAAATTGCCGCATATCGTAAACTTTTGGAGTCTGAGGAAGCCAGGTAATACATATAACTTTATATATAATAATGTATTATGTTAATTATATATAATTACATAGTAATATATTAATATATTAGTACAATAATATGTACATGATAATTAATATTTTAAATAGTTATAAGCTCACATAAGTAATAAGACTTCGTTTATTTGTAGATTAAACATCAATCCTGTACAATCTAGTACAGCTGTATCCAGTGGTAGAAGTACTCCTTCAAGACATACTCCGTTAAGAGGTGGTAAACGAAAACGCACTTTGTTAGAAGAAAGTGAAGAACGCAGTAGTACTGATTACAGTATAACTGGAACAGCCAGAGGAGATGTAGAAATTACAGAAGCTGATCCTCAAGGACGATTTGTGAAACTTACCAATAAAGGCAATAAGGTAAGACAAACCGAAAATATATCGCTCAAAGTTATTTTCTATAAAGAGAGACAATAATGATTACTATATTAATATCTTTAAAACTGCGAGAATAGGAGAAGAATTTTGTGAAGGACAAATAATGGTTCCTCCGAGTATTTTTTTCTACAGTGTATATCTTTTTGATTCTTATGCTTCAGAAGATGTAAGGATAGTAATGATTATAGCTTCATCCTGCATAAGCAGTAAGAGTAAGTGAAAAACTATTTCTGTCCTTTTTACAGGAAATAGCGCTCAGTGGATGGCAAGTTATTCGCAAAGCTGGTTCTTTAGAAACAGTATTTAAATTCCATCGTACTGCAAAGATAGATTCAGGTGCAACTGTAATGGTATGGTCATCAGATATTGGTGCTACACACGAACCACCGTCAAATATTGTTATGAAGGGTCAGAAGTGGTTCACAGCAGATACTATGACTACTACACTTCTTAACAACGAAGGCGACGTAAGTTTTACCGAGTGTTTACTTTTATTTTAATAGTAATCTTAATAATAATGGTTGATTCCTATATCTGTACATAGGAAATGGCCACTTCGGAGTGTAAAAGACAACAGCTGTCCACAAGTGTGTCTCGACATAGGGAAAACTTAGGTTTCAGAACTTCTGAGGAACTGCACCATCAACAGGTATGTAAACAATGTATAATTATAACACTAAAGAGCTATTAACTGGTTTTTAGTTAGTTCTTTGTATACCTTATAATCGCAGCTGAAAGAAATGTTTAAATACTACAATCTTTAGTATGATAGTATTTGTTTCATGAATATAATAGCTGGTCACACACACATAGATTTGAAAATGATTAGGAACCTTCTAGCGATTTTCTTACGAGTATAATTAAAGACAATGTGGCTATAAAGTATTTTAATTTTTCAGAGACATTAGAATTTCATATATCAAAGCTTTTCGAAATTGTCGATTTTTTCCTTGATATTGTTAGATGTAATATAAAAAATATATGTGTACAATAAGTAGATTCGGGGTGTGTGTTATCAACGCCATCTTCTTATTCCATAGAGAAGATATCTCTACCCCTATTAAGTGAGCGACCGAATGGTACTGATGGGTCGATTTATGTAAGTTGTTTCAACTTATCAATCGTTAAAATAGGCGGCGATTATTAATGATATTCGCGCTTCAAGTACAACAAATTATTTGGCTTTGTTTTTGTTTCTTCACAGCATTTTATTTTCATGCTCACGCTTAACTAAAACATCAGGAGTGTATCAAAATAATGAAATTGTAAAATGTGAACGTTTCGTTAGTTAACCACATTGTCTTTTGGATATATATGTATATATATTCAATAAATAACAGTTCCGGTGTTGAGATATATTATCGTTGGTATTACATGTAAGGTGATACCATTGGTATTACTATCACACATTTCTAACCAATCGTACAAAGGACAGGTTTGAACGCTAAAGTAACAGTTACTGAACTTACTTTGTTGCATAAAATCAGTGGTGCATACAAGTCATATACATGCGTGAATATTTTATATCGGTGTATGTATATACATTGTGATTCGCACAACTTTAACAAATCATATCTTCTTTGGTTGAAGTTAAAAAAAAATGTTAGAGGAAAAGGATGAATGGTTCAAGGTGGACTATATATTTACGATCATATTTTTTTTCGCAAGTGCAATAATATACACGGTGTAACAAAAATGTTTTAGGTCCCTGAAATGAGTCACTCGTGAGGTGATTTAGAACAAGTTTTTCCTTAGTCAACATGTTATCAGGCCGGCGGACTCGCGCTCTAATTGGTTTTTCGTTAATATCTCGTTAAAATAGTCTCAGATAACATTTTTGCTTCAGAAAAACTTGTTTTAAATCGCCTCACGAGTGTCCCATTCCAAGGATCTGCAACATTTTTGTTACACCCAGTATATGCATTTTGCAATTGCACTGTTTTTTTTAATGGACACTTTCCTTTTATGTTGCCTTAATATACTACTTTTTTTACGTAGAATGATAAGAATTCGCTGTATGGACAAAGAAAATTTTCATTTGAAAAAATAGTGCGACTGTAAAATGCACATACATTCTTGCACTTACAAAAAAAAATGATCGTGAATATGTAGTCCACCTTAATAAACCATTCATCTTGTTCTTCTAGCATTCTTTTCTGACTTTGACGACAAAAAAGATATGACTTGTTTACAATTGGGTGAACCACCCTGTATACATCTTTATATGCATGCACGAATAAACACGCAATATTGCTTCTGTTCACCAGTCCCTACATGAACCATTAACATCCATTAATGTTCGCTAGAAGATGTAACTAATGATCATGTAATAATTATTCTAGTCGTGTCATGCTATTTGGGTTAATCGACATACAATACACTCGATTCGTTCTACAGAAGTGTGATCCTTTTTTCTGTTCTAGGGCGATCCCCAGGGAGGTGAAATGTGCCGTCTTATGTAAAAACAAAAAAAAAACTACAAGTCCACAAAGTAATCTTAAGAGTTCTAACAGCACGTTTTAAAAATGCTTGAAAGGTACAGGAAGACACTTTATGAGAATCTCGACGTCGAGAGAATCGGGTTCCCAGTCTCATCGATACACGCAAAGGAATTCGTATGAAAAATAATGTCTTGAATGATATATATTTTGCTTAAGAAAATAATAAAGAAGAGATTAAAAAAGAGAACTCCACAACACTATTAGTACTTTATGCAATAATACCTCCAAACTTGTACACGATTTCAGGGCAGCAGTATACGTTTACTGGGGTTGTCACAACCGTTCAAAGGGGAAGAGAGAAAAAAAAGTACATCGCTTGTTATCGCCACCAAGGAACTAAATCTAACAAAGTAAACTCGCAAAATGGCACAATCACAGATGAAACTGAAAAATTTTCTATATTTGTTTGCCTGTTTTTTTTTTTTTTTAATGTCACTAATTTATTGGTGACTGTTTCCCAACAAAAACGATACTCAACATGTTGTAACTTAGATTGTTTTGAATTTAGCCGAATAATGTCTTTCGACGACAGTGGAAACTAACAATATTAGTAAATGGGTTTTATAGAAAACTAATTAAATTCTTTAAATGGTACGTTTGAACATCTTTCAAATCAATGATATGTATATTATTATAAAGTCGCCCAATTCGCTTCGTATTTCGTCACATTTTTTATGTGCTATCAGTTTGTTGTTCTCTGCTGTAAGAATTCTTAGAATTGACGAAGAATATTTGTGTACAAGTTCGGGGGTATTACTGTACTTGTAGAGATATGTACAAAGACGCGCAAACTCGGCTTCCCCTATGGGAAAAAGGAATGTAGGTGTAAGGGCCTCCTACCACTTGGTATCGGGAATTACTGAACTTTATGTTACATTCATGTTCGATTTAACATATATTTCAGTACTTGAAATACATTTACCAAGTGGTAGGAGGCATTTCTCTTACGCCACTTTTTCCCCTAGTGGAAACCAAGTTTGCTCGCGAGGGTACAAGAGAACAAGGAAACTATTCTGTAATATATAACGTCTAAATCAAACTTAACGAAGAGTTTCAGGGAGATTGAAACGATTTATTGCATTTATATATTTGCACATCGTACAAAACTTTATTTGTCCGTTAATATCAAAGTTAACTGTGTACTACTTTATCAAATGAGGAGTACGAGCAATCTCTTTATGGAGACCGAAATATTTTTTGGCTTACAATTTATTTCTACCTAGTCGTTATCGTGACATTTAAATGTATAAACAAAAAAGAAGAAGAAAAGAAATATGATTTTTTTTTCTCAGTAGGTAATAGTATTTATTTTTAAGTACAAAACCCGGATGTAATAGGAGTGTGGTGCCTGTAATATTCAAGCATATTCATTTCACAGGGGAATATCGTCTGATACTTCCACGGATGTTGCATTTGAGTTTTTCATTAATTGATATAAAAAGAGAAAGAAACTATGTTCAATCGAAATGTATCTACTCCATCATCCGGAATATGATTTTGTTATTTGTATTTGAATTTATACCATTTATACCAATAATAAAAATCTCTAATTAACCATATACTCGTATTTATTTACTATAAAATCGATGGTAAAAGTGCCGGAAAAATTTGGGAATTTATGTAACATTTAGTGGCGCTCCCACCACTTTGGTGGCGAAAATTGGAGCTAATTCCAGAACTTCCAAACTTAGAAGTTTTAGAATTAATTATTTTGTTATTATTTATTATTTAATATTACTTTTTTGGTTAATTGATATTAGGAATACGAGTGGAGATAGTGCCGGGATTAATGAATAACGCATATGTATGATTTGACTGTTTTTTATTGAAAAAATTGTACGAAAATATACAATTTATAATAATATTTGTATAGATTCAATAAAAGTGCCCTTAGATATTTATTTTATTTAAATCCTACTTATCTATATGATTTTACAATATACTTGTAATGATATTTATATAAATTCAGAAAAAGTAGGCTTAGATATTATTCAGGCTTATAAAATATTGTAACTTATATGCTGCAAATAATTCCCTCCTCTGTAACTTGCAAATCTTCCGTACCGTCTTCAAAGCTTGATAAAGGTTTCATAAGTTTGTCGCCGAAATTTTGATTACCGGTGGCATACGATAGACATGTGTAATAATTTGCAGTAGTCCTCTGCCGGATTCAATCAGTTGTTACTAGATGTGGATTACGGGACAATGAACGGTAGTGAAATGGCTTGCGTCAGTACACGTTTGAAACGTGATCCTTTATCGCTGTTGCTCGTACAACTCTTGAGCTCAGTCGAATGTTGTTCGTACAACTGTCGAATTGGGACTGACGCCTGACGCTTGTGCATATTCCCGTGAGCAAATTATATAGTAACCCCAGCAACCATCGCAGTTTCTGCAGATATTACTACAGCCCAAGTTTAAAAGACGTAGGCAGTAGTTAGTTTCTGTAGTAACCTGTTGAACCAGACAACTATAATTAGTATAGGATTGTACAATATTTATGCAGTTATAATTATTTACAATTTCCTCATCATCCTCTATATTATCTACAATTCTATATATACTTATTTATTATCGCAATTGGAATTATCTAAAACATTGTTTATATTTCGTCGTAATAATGTAAATGCAATCTTTATAAACGTTGTCAAAACACCTAATAATTAAAAACTGTATGTGTAGACATATCTGCATATTTATAAATACAATGGTATATTAATATATTAAAATAACTTATATAATATATTAATATATTTAATAATATTATTTAACTATAGTTTAAAAAGTGATGAGATACGTATATATTATATGTATCTAATTATTTATTCATATTATCTGTTTTAAAATAATTAAAAATCCGTTGCAAAATAAATTTCGTTTAATATTTAAAGTTCCGAAATGACCATTAGAGGGCAGTGGAGTAGAGATTTTCAAAATGTGTGAGATAACTGTAGACTCTCTAGACGTTGATCGTTGATGTTGGTTGATGTTCGTGAGTACGTAAATATCATAGGGAACAAGTAATTTGTGTTTAAAGTGGTTATTTATAGAAATGCTTTCTTACAGATTGATAATCAGGAAGAAATTCATTTATGTCTCTTCTTAAGTGGACACTAGTGTATTTAAGATCTGCCATAACATTGTTTTGCAAATAATACAAAATAATATTATGATACTCCATTACGTTTTATGAAATAATATTTAATTTATATGAGGAGGTTTGATTATTATTATTGAGATTAAAGATACGAAACACCGATGCATAAAAAGATAACCATGTGCGATCTTATAGATTTAAATAGTCCTGATAAAAAGGGCTTGTTAACCTGTAGACTTGCATCGCCTTTAATACCAGTTCCTACAGACACAACGGGCAGTAATTATAATAATCGTATCACCGATACAAGTTCTCTAGTCAGTGGAAAACGCGATAGTTTAGAGAACAATCCTTTTGATATGGTGTTGCATAAAACTACAGAATACATTCAAAAAAAGGATGATCCCTTTGAGGTGGCTTTAGAGAAGGCTCTTAGGATAAAACGTAAAAAGGATACTAAGCTGAGGACATATTCTGTTGAGTTTACTGATGACTATACATTAAAACGAAGGAAAAGTTCTCAAAATCTAAAAATTAATAAGACGTTGGATGAATCTTTAATTAATGAGGAATTGAATCAGAGAAATGTAGCTGATGACAAAATACAGAATGAAAATGTAGCAGCTGAGTTGGATAAATTTGACACATTGAGTGATAATTTGAAATCTGTTGATATATCTGTTAAACTCTCATTCTCAGACGATAAACACAATGTACTACCTAGCATAGAAGTACAAGACATTAATCTGTCGATTTTAAATCAGTCCATAATGAACGATACGTTATTTGAAGCAGATAAAGATGTAAGTAGTAGAAACCAAAATAAATTTTTGACAGGTTTGGAGACAGGTAAAGATAATATTGAGCATATTCCAACAATCGCTACATTATTACAAGTGCCAAATCTTCGGCGTTCTTTTTCGCAAGGAGATAATGTATCGCCGAAAAAAACACAACATTTAGATCACATATCAATGGTAGAAAAATTACGAACTAATTCTGAAAGTAGATGTAGCGTATCGTCTACACTCGATATTTTAAACGACGGTTTTCTGAAGAGCCGTTGTAGCGGAAGTTCTGTATTTTCAAGTTTATCAAATATTTCGTCGATAACTAAATTAAATTCCATTTCTTCCACAACTAATTTGTCGATGATGTTATCGAGTGACACGTTCAACAGAACATTTTTAGAAAGCTGTTCGTCCGAAAAGTCGGATAGTAGTACGAAATTAAATGAAAAAGCGAGTCCCATTGAAGGAATCAATTCTGCGTCATTGCCTTCAAAAAATTTAGTAACATCAGTAGCAAATACCTCAACCAAAACTCGATCTTCAATGTCTGATTTAACAGACCGATTTAATAAACTGAAAGCAAGAGCTTCGGAACTTCATGTTTCTGAAAATACTATAAACGAGAAGAATCAGACCACCTCCAGCTTTTCTAATGATATTAAAGAATGTGTGACTGTAATGAAGGAAAAGGAAGAATCTGATACAGATAACAGGTTAATAGATATTGATATATTTTCACCGCAAATGAATTATGGTAAGGATCAATATAAGAGTTCCATTTCAGACACTTCATCAGATTCAGTATTTCTTGTAAGTTTTCATCTTTACTATGACGAATTATTTAATTAATGTTCGTTTATATGTAAACAGTGAATAAATAATATATACAATGTTTAAATATGTTAATGTATTCAATTTTTAGGATGAAAGTAAAGTCAATAAATCAATACTTCATGAAGCAAAACTTCTTGCTAGAACTTTTGAGGAGTTGGCTTTGAGGACAAGTTCAGGATGTAAGTTTGTTTTGCACTTAGCTGATAAAAGATGGAAATAATAATCAAAACATCTATAATATTTATTTTCTATTCAGCAAGCATTGATGACTTGATTACTAACAATCCATTATGGACGTCCGAGTTACTACCAGCGTTTGATGATGAGATCGATAATTTAATTGAATTACCCATATCTCCTGATACAAGTAACGCGAATCCAAACAATAAAAAAGTTATGGAGCGTACAGATAATGTTCCACACATAAACAGAAACAGGAAATTTGTTGCCAACATATCAAAAGAAAATATAAAAGATTTGGAAATGGAACTGATTGCACCAATACCTACAGAAAAACGTGTCACGGCGGCAACACTTTTGTTGGATCTGAAGAAGCTAATTAATACAGAAATTGATACCGAAGCAAATAAGTTATTGGAAAATTTGGAAAAGGTTTTAGGTATTAATTGGGATAACAATACTGAGTTATTAACTACTTATCTTAACGTCACTAATAATTTAGCAAAAAGTCCGCAAAAATCTAATAGTAATTTAGAAATAAAAAATGTAGCAGAAAATAATATGGAATTTAGCCAAGAAAATAATGTAACAGACGATTTGATTGAAAATATTGAAGAATCAGCGCATGGTACAAATATGAATATTAATGATTCAAACTTGGGTAAATGTTCTACTAATAATCAGAAATGTTTGAAAGAAATAAATAGGGAATCAAAGGAGATGGATGAAGAATTAAAAATTCGTAATGGAAGAACAGGGAACGAAAACAAAGGAAGAGATTTTAATGTTCAAACTACGTGCAACGTAAATACTTCGTGCACAACAGAAAGTAATGATTCTGTAAATGAAAAAGTTGCAATAGAACTTCTTACGAACTTATCAAAATTATTAAGTGGCCAGACTGAAGAACATTCAACAATAAATTTACTTAGAAATTTAGGAAGAGTATTGAATTTTCATTCTAATAATTGTAATATAAACGAAAAAGAAAAAACTAATAAAAGCGATGTAGATATCCATCAGACTCCAAAGAAAGCCAATTTGAAGTACGAAAATAAATCACATTCCTCAGTTCTATCAAAATCCGTAAACAGATACAGTTTGGAGTTGGAATCAAAAGTACGTATATTGTTGTAGAAAAGGTACAAATGTATCAAATATAATGTAACCAATGTAACCACTTCTATAATTTCATAGAAACAGCCTGTCGCTAAACCTTTTATGAGAAGGAGCATATCGGTATCTCAAACTCCGCCAATTAGGACTGCACCAAGCCCATTAATGTCCAAGGGAAAAAGTACATCGCAACTTAGGGAAGTTACGAAACGTTTTTCTAGCGATCCCGGCTTAGCTAGTACGACAGTGAACAAAAAAAGTATTACGAATAGTAATAAAAATGATTTGCAAAAAGGTAAAATTTTATATGCTTAGTATAAACAAATCAAAGTACAAACGTAATTAATTATGTATACTGTTAGACATAGGAACAAAAACAATCCCAACATTAGATATACAGAAAGAAAAGACTACAATGATAGGTACGGTTAAAAGTAAATTGAAGAACAAAATTGATATCAATGCCATAAACAAAAAAGGACCAATGAAAGCTATTCTTCCTGTAGGAAGTATGCGAAAGAGGGGTATGGTTACATAAATGTAATACGTATTAGTGATAGACTGATAGAAAAATGCGATGAAATATTGTTTTACAAAATTTTATTTCTTAGTATTTTCTAGAAAAATTCTTTTCTTAATTTTTTCCCGTTTGATACTGTAGTGTTTTTGACCCAGTGTATGTCATAGTATTCGTAAATAATCATGTTACAGAGTCTATTAGTAGAAAAGTAATTCCGTCCACTGAAACCATAACGCCGCCTAAGGTACATAAAATAATTAGTAGTACACCTAATTCTACGGATAATAGATGTCCATTAAAGAAATCTTCACGGCCCTCAAAACCAGTGGCTTCATCCACTCCAGATGCTGAGAATTCTAAAGCACGCAAAGTACAGTCGCAAAAAAGTAAAAGTTCTAAGAAGCGCAACTTTGGATGCGACATTTCGCCAGTAACTACACGCGTCAACGATAATAACAGTAACGGAGTAAATAATAGTTCAAAACGGTGAGTTTAATGTAATTAAATTTTTAAGCAAAAAAAAAATACTTTTACGATAACTTGTCTTTGTCTTTAAGATTCAGTAAGTTGCTATCTCCCAAGAAAACGCCTAAGCTCCGTCCAGTGGATTCTAGCATTCCAAGATGTCGGACTCCTCCTGTCAATAAAAGATTAAATTCGTCGTGCGACATTAATCAATATGAGCGAACGGCTGAATCACCGCAACGTTCCTTGTACAAAATGTCAAGTTCACAAAATAATTCGCCAATTTCTTTGAAAAAGAATGGTGGTAAAATACAACAAAGTCCTCTAAGAGACAGTAATAAAATCATGCATAAAGTAAAACCAGTCAATTTGGTACATATAACGTTGTGTCTCAAATCAGAAAGTAATTAAGATGGATATATTTAAGTAATTGAAATTTATTTCTCGACAGATCTCGAAACTCCGACGACATAGTATTGGAACTAATGTAACGGAAAAAGAAAATAACTATATGTAATGTACGCACGAAAAAAAGAATTATGATGATGGTTGTGTTATTATAGCGTGAGTATTTTTTTACTTTTACAAGTTTTGTACTTATGTATTTTGCAATAAAGTGTTTGTTTAAAATACGAAGCCGAACTTGTATTTGGTTTCATAAGCAACACCTGTGAAATCGATATCTTTTAATATGAACTGTACAGTGTTATATTCCTTCATTTCTATTACCCTACAACATAAGTATAATATTATATTCATTTCACTGTTCTCTAATTAACGTATGTACCTGATACGCGCGTAGAAAAGTCTTCGGACTTTACAAATAAAAAGATTATCATTATTAAAGTGGACCATTTAACAAGTAGAATGTTTGAACCGTGCCACGTGCGGCACGTAACTTAAGATTTCATTACGATCTGTTGCGTCAGATCCGTCTATCTGAAACAGGCTCAAAAGGGAGCTACTCGGCCGGGAACGAGGACAGCAGCGCTCGGGAATGGCCGATACGTCACGGTCGTTTCTAAAATCACAAACGCAGTAACGTATCACGCGTAAATCATCACAAAACTTTGGTTACACATTTCCTATTAATTTAAATCCACAACCAAACTCATCTAACTTCAAATACCAATAAATCAAATTGTGGTTCGATACTCTGGTCTCAACGTCTTACGATAAGCACAGAAAATTCGTAATAAAAATTCAGGCCTTTAAACGGAAGATTACCAAATGCTCCATACAAAACTGAAATCAATACTTTGCGTTCAAATGTAATATTTTTGTTGTTTCATATAGTCGAGCGTTAAAATGCTGTAGAAACGAAATTCTACGAGTATCGTTCGTTAAAAAGAATAGGAAACTGTTATAAGGGGACAACGGATAAACTGGTGAAAGCAATGCGCAGAAGCCGGTTCCTTCAGGGGTGCTGACGAAGGTATCGCCGAGCCTGCACGGACCCGTCCCCGCAAAAAGTGCGCTCCGCGTGTTCCGTACTCCAGCGGCGGTCCGTCGACACTCGCGTGTAGCCGCACCCGGCCCGGCGCTCTTCGGTTTTGTCGAAATAACTCGTAGCAACGGCCGCGAAGAAGGCTGGTCGTCGGTGCAAACGATTCTTTGCGAATTGTTAGAGACGACAGTATCAGTGAGGTGAAGTGCGCCACGGTTTGCACGGAGTTCGATCTTTTTGGGCGTTCTGTAGAAGGAGAGCTGGCGCGGCGCGCACGAGAGGCCGCCTCTAGAAAAAGAGCGCGTCTCGCGTGTTGCACTAGATTGGTGTACACGATGCTCGGAAAAGCGACGTAACGAATTCGAAAGAGAAACGCGTTCGTTCGCTGAACGAAAACGATGGAACGAACGCGCGTCAAAGTTTTTTCAAGTTGCGGATCGGTGAGAAATTACAGCCGGTCGGGTTGAGAGTGAGAGAGAAAGAGAGAGAGAAAAGAGGAGGCTGGCGCGCGGCGAGGCCACCTCGGGAAAAGACCGCGTCTTGCGGGTTCGTGGTGTGCTGCGGTGGCTATTGTGCGATACGATCGTTGAAGCTTATCGACATTCGTGAAAGCGTTGTCTCTGTTACCGCGTTGTACAGTGAACGATAAATTTGACCAAGGATTTACGGAACAGTTTGTACAGAGTGTCAACGCGTACCTGCGAACGTATATGGGGAAACGCAACCGGCGGCGATATATCCCGCGTGGTACGTATACCGCACGTACACATGCACACGTAACGTGATACATACGTGTGGCATGCACATTCGCAAAAGACAGTTGGACTCGTAGAATCGTCGTATGGTCGCGTGTGTCCAAGCGGACTGTCGCGAAGCGCGCTAACAGAGAGATCCAACACCGTGGAAAACTTGTCTGTCGGCGGCGGATGGCTAAAGAGAGAGAGAGAGAGAGAGAGAGCGAGATCGGTGAAAGAGAGGTATCCGTCGTTCGACGATTGGCGCGTGGCGTAGACATTCGACGGTCACTTGGCACGTATCTAGCGTAATTATTCCCCGGTTATCCCGTTTCGTCCCCGTGAAACAGGCATTATTTATGAGTGCATGGATCGGTGCGTTTTCACGGGTGAAACAAAAGACGTGGGAACGCAACCAATAGGCAACCAGTGCGAACACGGTTCCCTTTGTTCGGCTCGGCGATATCTCGATAACGATTTGTTCGAATTTTAAATCGTGCACGACGATCAGCGGAAGGAAGTTACGTACGCGGGCTAGTAAAGTATCCCGACATCGAAAGTGCGTGTGTAAAGGGTGTGAAATGCGTCGCACTGCAGTTCGATGTTCGATCCAGCAGCGGCGGACGACCTGACTTTGTCAGATTGCCTCTCGACGTCGTCGTCGTCACTGCTGCCGCCGTCGTCGTTGATGTCGTAGCCGTACACCTCTCGACTTCAGTCGCTTCAGTCCAACAATGGATCAGCACAACTACGATATACGATTCAAAATCCTCTGCCGGTAGCAGACTAAACGGATAGAAAGTGGATCCATTCGTTGGCTCCGGGTACCAAGCCCGCCGTTTAATCGCTTCACGCTCAGTGATTAACGTTAAACGTTGAACGGACATTTCGCGCGTTCCGAATGCGCCATAGATTTCGCATGTTATTGACTTCGTCGATCCGTGCAATCGATAATATTGCATTACGTTGACGAGTTTCTGCGGTTGTGTTTTCGCGTTTTCGTTATCAAGCGAATACGTTTGCATGTAGGAATTAAGAGCGAAACAAACCGTGCGCATACAGAACGTAAATCGCGGTGTATACACGCTCTTATTATAAGTCGCTGCTCGAATTTGTTTATATGGGGGCACGATTCTGCGCTCGATACAGGAAACTGTCTCAGGGTTGCTTCCTGCCACAAGAATGATCGACTGTATAATCTGCGCATCGTTTCGCATATAGCTGAAGAGCTATTGATATTCCAGTGATACAATAATAAATTCAACATAGATTCTCGAACTGAGATTCGACAAAGGGAACGAGGATCGTGTGAAGCGCAACGAAGTGATATATATACATATATATCCGAAGCGAATACGCACGGAAAGAATATACAGAAATCTGCCGATCGTTATGACATCGCGCGCGAATGGTAGAAACACCATAAAAACGCGCAGAAAGCACCGTAAGAATCATTCCTACGATATTATTGAACATTACACTGGTGTATATCGAGCGATATCGTATTATAACGCGCAACGATTTATCGACATATAATAATGCAGCAACACCGGGTGGAAACGCAAATACTCCACGAGGAGCAGATCCTGGAAGCAATAGATCAGTTGCGTAGACGGAAGGCGCGACCAGACGCCGACCGTATATGCAACTATTTGCTACGGAAGTTCTCCGTTGATGCACGGGATACTATTGCCGATCTTCATAGGTTGATCGAAGCGGAGAAGGTGATTCAGGTGGACTACAAGGGTAACACCAGTTATCGAAATGCTTCGAAATGGTCGCGGTTACAACTCTACAAAAATCGACCGGAGGGTTTTGTAAAGGAGAAGTTAAACTCTGGGATGGTGGCGGGTGCCGTGGCCGAACTTGTTGTCGAAGAGCCGGATTACCTTGATCAAGGTGTACCCGCATATAGATTGGTCGAGCAGCTACTCGATGGTGTTTCGAATCCTACCTCCAGGCGTATGGTCGAGGATTTTCTTGGCAAAGAAGTAGCCAGCGGTAATTTGACGCGTCTCTCTAACGGCAATTACTCGCTGGTGGCGACGTCTGATATGACAACCACCGCCGAACCAACGCATCGAGAATCGTTCACTCTTGAGAATGGGAACGCGCGACGCAAGGAATTACAGACCGTATCCTCGACTACGGGTGGTCTGTACGACTTCGACGAGACCGAGAACCTGACAATAACGGACTCTCGGTCGAACACGCCGAGATCCTCGCGTCAAGCTAGCCCGAAACATGATCCACAAATCAGAAAGGAAGAATGTTTCGAAATAATCGTCGGTAGAAATGAAAACACTGCCTCGCCGGTGGAACACGATTCCCTGAAGGAATCGGAATCACATGAACCTTCGCAAACATCTATCGAGGATGTGAAAGAAGAATCAAAAAGTACAGACAGTCAATCACATAACCTCAAAAGATCTTCGAAGGCTGAGCGTAAACAGCGTCTGCTTGTTCGAACAGATGATCCTATGGACATAGAGATCAAGTTTGAGGATTATCGAAAAGAAAATAAAGAGGAAACGAATTCGCAAAAGGAAAAGAGAGACGAGGCTGGACATCTCAGTGAAGAACGGGAGGACGACGACGCGGGAAGAAGTTCCACTAATCCTTCGCCTACACCATCAAACGTTAACGTTGGTGGATTTCGTAGTGCTCGCAGAAAGGTACATATTGTTTGTTTCAACGAATTTAAATGTAATTAACATTGGTTAATACATATCACGTGTATTGATTCACAATACTGATATGACTGAGCAATGTGTTGCAGAGAGCAAAAAAAGTATTTGATCCTTCTGACAATAATCTTGTAAAGCGGAAGCGTGGAAGACAGCCAGGTTCTCAGAATAAGTCTTCTTTGTCTCAAGAGTCTCAAGACACTTCCAAATCCTCTATCAAGGATGGACCCTGTAGACAATGTAGTCTTTGTGCCAAAGAAAAGCAAGAAACTTTGGTAGCTTGCCGTGATTGTACCGTAAGAGGTATGTATATTATTAACAGATTATTGTGGGTATTCATTATTAACATATTTTAATAAATTCAAATTTCTTTGCAGCACATCCGAGTTGTATTTATAGTCCAGAAGAAATGATCCAGAAGGCAGGTAGTAACTGGCAGTGTGAACGTTGCAAGAGTTGTACAATATGTTGTGAAACTTCTGATGCAGTAAGTTGATATTAATGAATACACTATTACATTTCTTATTTTGTATACCATAATTTGTTTTATTTTCTTAGGGTCCACTTGCAACATGTTTCACATGCGATGAAGCTTATCATTATTATTGTCATACACCACGGATAATAATACCTAAATCAAATTCAAAATGGCAATGTAACGACTGTGTACAAAAGCAGTATAAACCAAATATAAGCCAGAATATTAGTCTGGTTACTAGTAGACCCGACACACCATCGAATCCTCCTGTTTTACCTCCAGTTTTAAGTCCTCAAGTATCTCCTGCTAGAGGTTCCTCTGATCAAATGGAGGATGATGGCCCAAGAGATGGAATTGATCCAAATATACCCGATGCTTCAGATTGGACATCTGAACAAGTGTACCAGTATTTTGCAAGACTTTTTCCAAAGGAAGCTGAAGTGTTCAGGCAGCAGGTAATTGTTTTTGGTCCATTTTGTTTTCTTGTTAATTCCTTAATGTTTTGTAAACATTTCTATATTAACCCTCTGTTCTTGGTTCGATGTTTGTTGCAGGACATTGATGGTCACTCTTTATTATTGATGAAACGGTCTGATGTTTTAAGCGGACTTGATTTACTTTTAGGTCCAGCATTGAAAATATATAGGCACGTGTTAAAACTACAAGTGCGGAGGGATGATCCGAAACTTTACTGGCTGTAACATGCTTTAAATACTTATGTAGTTAGGATGACGTTTAAAGAAGGTTGAACTCTTATTGTGCTGTACAGATAAATTCTTTTTACATTTAAGGATAGTGAATATTTTTTTGATTCGAGATACATTTTCATATTGTACATATTGTGGGTTATCTTGAATTAAAAAAATAATTCTTTATTATGAAAAGAATAAGATAAAATAATTGGAAAGTGAAGAATGTTGTTTGTTTGCTATCCAGGTACTTTTGTATTGGATAGTTTGTATAGCTTACCGTTCGTGTAAGACTCCGTATTAATACAATAAAATGTACTTTTGTTTTGTTCATGGACTGTAACCAATATTTCCGAAAGGTGCTGATTTCTTTAAATGTTATGTATTAAGTTAATTTTTTGTTCCATAATGAAAATTCTGAAATTGTTCTGTTTAAATAAACAATTTAAATACGAAGTAAACAATAACACAACTGTACGCCTTTGTATTATTTTTTTATTTTTTACAATGTATAGCAAGATAACAAATATTTATTAATAGTACAGTAAACTTGTCAATATCCTATGTAAGGAACATGATACTTTGGTTTGAAATATACTTTCTTATACATTAAACGTATTAATATTTACAATATATGCCATATGAAATAATTATACACTTAACTCTGCTTTCAATTAAAAATTCCATTATTACTTTCGTAACACACATAAGAATAATACTTCAAATACTATCGTAGATTCTTTTTAAAAGAATAAAATTTCATAGCCACTTAATTTTATTAATACCGAATAGAAAGACTAATCAGATAGTTGATAAGTAAAATTGAATAAACCAGTTCCTATAATGATACATGAAGTAACTAAGTTTTGTTTACAGAAACTCATTCTTTAGAAACATACATGTATAATGGTTTGTCAAAGTGATCATAACAACCAAGATTTATAACAACTTATATATCAATGCAATATTGCATTCATAACATTTACATTTATACAAATGTAGTGTATTCATGAGTATTTCACTCAATCAAAAACATGCTACATTTTATATTTTTTTCGTAAATCTAGGAAATAACAGCATTATAATAATATCAAAGTAATTTGAGTTTAAAGTTTTAATAATTTTTGGTAGTTTTATAATTACTTTATCGTCTTTGCTACGTTAATCACATTAAATTCTGAGGAATTGCACATTTAATATTTCATAAAATGCTATTATAAAAGTACAGACATTGCTACTTTTGTTAATGTGTAAGTAATATCTCACATTGGTTATATAATTACACATCAATTTACACTTTGGGAGAAAATATCGAGTTTATATATCTCAATATAATATGACTAAAGTATGTTATGCAAAAATCTTAAATCGTATCTCAATATTTATAGTATATTTGGTATTTATATATTATGTGATATATCATATATCACATTTCAGAATTCCACAGAAGTAAAATAGACCACATAATATATTTCAAAACTATTTTCAACCACACATTGTACTATGTTTGTTTCCATACTTGGAATATTTTTACTTTTTTTTGCATGTAACATGAAAACGATAATTAATTTATGTTCATACATAATATATCAAATTGAGATTTAAACATTAACTTCTACAAGAAATTAGAATTTTCATTGTACTATAATATTAAACGGTGAAGAATACAAAAGAAGTATGTATATGTGTCAAGCATACATATAGATTTTAAAATGACAACAGAAAGACTATAATGTGTAATATATAAAGTAGAATATGCCTTTCAATATAAAATTTGTAATAAAGATTAAAATTATGAAACATTAAATGAGCAGGTAAAGTAAACACAAATTCCGTGTATACAAAATGATACATGGTAAAATATTCTAATATACATCCTAACATTAAAGTTAGAACATTTTTCTTTCCTACTTACAAATTATATTTAGAAAAATAATATGTAGTTGTAAATACAAAAGCTCTTGTTCCTTATTAAGTGGCTAACAGAGTACATAATTTGCAGTCTTACATCTGTGCATTTTCATTACCATTCGATGATAGTTTTTGTCACTATTTTCATAAGGAAAAAAAGTTAATAGTAAGAATTATTATTCCCCCATTCGAAATTTGAATTAACTCCTTAAGGCTTTATCTTTACGTACATATTCGTAAAAGCTTATCTTTAAACTATAAATCGTTTTATAACAGAAAGTGAAATTACTTTTTTTTTTATAATCTCGCAATATTCATAAAGCACTACCATATGTAATACAAACATAGTTTATTCAAAACTGTATTAATATACGCAAATTTAAATAGTTCTCAAAATCGCTTAAAAGTTTTAGCATCAGAATAACTAGTTAAACTTTCATATTAATTTCTGGTACATCAACAACCTCTGAGTATTTTGGAGGTGGTTGTTTATGCAGCGGTACTTCTGGTAAGTATAATGTCAATGTAGGAGAAGTCTCAGACTTTTTGATAAGCATCTCTTTATAAGAATCATTAGATTTTCCTGAATATAAACATAGCCAAAATGCAGATAGAGCTGCAGCAGCAATAGCAAAAGCAAAAAGCCAATGTGGTAGCCCAATATGTCTTGAGACACACTGAATCCAATCAGACCCAGGTACTGAAGCTGATTGCTCATTTTCGCCGGAGTAGTCCGATGGTACACCATAATCCATGGTCTACAGTTTTATTAAATTGAAAAATTCATATTATTTACTATCATACTTTGAACAAAACAGTGAATTAATTAATCAAGTAAGTCAGCAAAACTTAATAAAAGAAAACAAACTAACACTGTAAGAAATGTATTAAATATATAAATTACGCATTTTCCGACTGATATGAAAGTAAGTCACGTTAGCAATTGATCCAATACAATAATAACATGTGTACTATCAGTCGATAATCAGAAAGACCCTAATGTCCTTCGTGCAGTTGCAGTGTACCTACATTTTTTATTTCAAAATATATACGAGGTGTGACAATAGAGTTTCGAGAATAATTAATTTATTTTGAAAATTCAACAGATATGAGGTGATCGCAAACAGTCTCCTTGAAACTGTATGTACATACCCATTCCACCGGCAGATCCATTGTACGTAACATTTCTGGCATCTGTTTTAATACCCACGTTACATTATGAGGTGTAACAATAACGATACGAGAATAATTTTGTTTCCATCAAAGTGAACGTAATTGTTTACGGTGTTACCATTTTAATGGAAACAAATTCTCGAAACATCATTGTCTCATCGCGTGATATAACAAGGATATTAAAACAGATACCAGAAATGTGACGACGGTGGATCCGACGCTGGAATGCGTGTGTACAGTCTCAAGAAGAGTACATACTTTAAAGACTCCATGGCCTCACATCTGTTAAATTTTTAAATAAATTATACTCGAAACTTTATTGTCGTACCTCATATGTTTCTGTTCCTGTTATAATGTACAACTTACCCCAGCATCCAAAGGAACAGTTTTGATATATGTTTGCGGCAATTTAAATCCATTTGAATCCCACCATCCTGGAAGAAGTTCTTTTCGTAAACCTGGATCACTTAGAATGTCATTTTCGGGTATATCAGGTGACATTAAAAGTATATTAGAATCTACTCCTTCCTCTACATAAATGGCAACAGAAAAGAGCGATAATAGATCTGAAACACGCTGCCTGGCCATAAAATTGCAGCCAGTACTGCATGCATAGTGACCCTCTGGCAATGTATATGCTTCCGCACATGCTACAACAAAATAAAGTAATATTATTATTACTCAATCATATTAACAAAATTAAACAGATAAAAAAGACTTATATGTAGTACTATAACTTATCTGGAAAATCTGTGGCATCGTAAAAACCTGCAACTTCAATATTTTGTGTATTTTGTAAGCATGTGTAATTTCTTGAGCTGTACGGTTAGATACCCGAAAATTTCGAGTTGGGTCAGGATCCGTAACATTCGTAAAGTTCGTAAACATGTAATATTCAGATATCTGAAATTCCATTCTAAACATGATTTTTTTGTTGGGCCTTATACTTGAATTTTCAAGTTTAGAAGTGTTTTTGTATTCTGTAGTATAAACACTTGTAAAAGTTGAAAGCAAGGAAAATACTATACAGTACAATATGCGAAATAATATAGTTTTATTTTAAATAAATTAGTTGGATTGAAGAAAATATAAGATAAATATAAAAATAAAAAATCCAGATAAACCAGAATCTAAATTAAAAGTTGTCTATTTTTCCTATTTATATGTTTACAAACTTACAGAATTCAGAACCAAACAGTGTCGGCGAAACCTGACTTTTTTGAAATCTTGCACATCCTTAATAATCTTCATGCTTTTTATAAATTCTTCTGATTCTTTAGGTACTTTAAGAACATTGTTCATTATACCTCTATATGGTTATCATGTCTTGAAAAGTTCATTAGGCTACATACCATAGCAATTGTTTGATCAAATATTAATTTAATAATACAATAGTTAGTGACCACGGTGCATGTTATACAATTATTTGATGAAACTTAATTAATTTCTACAGCACAGACAAATTATCAAAAAATCTACATTAGTGATGGCCAAACTAAGCTACTAGAATGTCAAAATACATATCTACCAATAAAAGGACATATGCATTGCATCTTAAACAGCACAAATTTTCCGGATAAGCTACACCTGAATTTTTGAATTTTGCTCAATCACAGTTATTCATCACATATTTACCCTTTGCACTCGACTGTCCCCTCTGAAGGGACAAAAAGTATGGAAAATTAGAAATTCCGATTGCAAAGGGTTAATTAAAGGAAAATTAAGCCTTGATTTATACAAATTATTCATTATCAATTCATGCACGATGTGTAGCATTTGTAATATTGATTTGCAAGGCATTTGAATGGTATCATCAGATAAAGAAGACACTTTCTTATTTATTTTTTACGATAAATGATTGGCTATTAGTTAAATCTGCTCAATAGTTGTGTAGCTTATATGACTTCTTATGTCATGTATGCCCACTAGATGATATCCCAAAACTTCTTTGACTATGAAAATTCTTGTGAACTGAAGAATAATAATTCTATCTCTTATCTACTAAGGCTTATATAATCTAGTACTTATATTACAATTTGAATCGATCTAATAATAATGTTTTAAGAACTATGATAAGCATAATAAAACGTTTGACGTACAAGCTTCGCAGGCATCTCTGGTACCGTTTAAGCTGTATGGTTTAAATCCATAATGTAAGTCTACCAGATTATAGAACCTACATCCTCGTTGACAACAGGATTTAAAGTATTTACTCTGAAATTGAAATGTCACATTAATGTTACCGCACTCGCGTATAATGTGAAATAAGATTGATTTATTAAAGTGAGTCGTACATTCGTAAAAGACAGTGGTGTTTTTTCGCACAGATTAATGCATGGATCCTCTCCGCTTACGGTGCTATAAAATGCATCGCATCGTGCAACATTCACAAGGAATAACAATAGGAAGGCAGCAATTTCCTTTTCCTCTTTCATTTCGGAACGTTACTTATCGCGGAAATGGTGTCCGACGTGTCAATCAAAATAATTCGTTACACAGGAAAACTTCACTCGCAGGAGGTTGATAGCGTTGATAGCTCGCCGGAATAATCGAGTAAATATCGATTTAATTATGGTGGGAACGCGTCGGATTGGTCGACCCGTTCGTCGCCTATCAGAACAGACCAATACTCTGTTTTTAAATTACCAAGCTTGTCGTCTGCTAAGCCTTATATTTCCACTGCTTTTATACTTTATAACATTATAAATAAACAATTGTTACAGCACAATAATGTAACGATTTCTTTTTTAACTCTTATTTAAAGGAAAATTCATAGGCTCTTTATCAATAAGTATTTACATCAGGAAGCCTATAATAGTATTTGGAATAAAACTGACGGCAGAATAACGTCAGACTAACAGCAACGACGAGCAGACCTGATGCCAGAGCCATAGACACCTGTCACAGTAACAGGTATAAAATATAACGTCAGGTCTGCTGATACAGGAAAGTTAATATAAACTAACGTATATTATTAATATTTATTAACATATACAGTCAATTTTGTGATTTAATATTAAATGATCATTCAAATGCTTGAATACCGATTGCAGATGCATTTAGATAAAGTATAATCGATTTAATCTGTAATAAAGTTGCGCAGATCTACTGCATTTCGGACGTGAATCTGCCGTCAGGATATTAGCAAGTCTGTTCGATTTCTGACGTCAGATCATGTCACTAGGCCCGTTGTATTTCTGCTACTACATTATTGACAGAACTGATGTATCTAGCAGATTCTCTAGCAAATCTCTAGTAAATGTGTACATCAGGTCTTTTCGGTATTAAATGATGAGAACATAAAGTCTGTATTCTGTTTTTAGTAAATTTTCTATTTTATTATGATTTAATCAGTTGTATCTACCAGAAAAATACGAAATCGGTAGTCTATAATAGTGTTACCTTGTTTTTTAGTAATTGCTTTCAAATGTAAATATGTATGTTTTTCAATCGTCTGAAATGTCAATGGTATCAATTATTGCGGTCGTATCGCGAAGCACAGAGTAATGTCCTATTATGAAACGATGTCGTAACTATCCAGAGAACTATTTCCATGTACAAACTTTAGTAGAAGCAATTTTCTTGCAGTAATCTGCAATAATCTAAGTATACCATGTATGCTATCACGTGCAAGAATGTGAGGAACCTGATATAATAAGTAGACGGTGTCGTGTGTGTAACTATCATTGTAAAAGTGGACGTCGGCCGTGCAAGGTGTTGCCGATATATTTAGAAGTCTATTTAAATTTTCTACCGTATAACTGTTTAACGCTATTTTGTATCTGTAATTTATTAAGAATTTTATAACTTATTTATAGTTGAAAATTTATAATACACGTAAGTAACAGTTTATACTTTTTACGAAACAAATATCTATGGAGTCTCGCAGCAATTATTTACTCTTTAATTTTTATTTGGTTCTTAAATTATTTTGCTATCTCACAAATCGTATTATAATAATTATTTTCTTCGAATATATTTTCCGCAAAAATATGTTAACATTATTCGTCTATATACACGTGTAAGCTACGATGGAATTTATAGCACGTTTCATATCACATCTGTTCAAGTTTGCTAATTTTAAACGATGCGAAGGTTCACAGACAAGTACCTCATTTTGAGGAAAAATTAATTTTTGTATTCAATAGAAAATTAGTCTGCGTAAATCTAATATAGATATGTTGTAATAATGATATTTTAATTGTTAAATAGCAATTGATATTTAATTCCACTTAAGTGTTGTAATTCGTATTTTAAATAATATATTTGATAGCATGTCAGTGGAGGAAGGTTTTGCAACAAAAGCTATACATGCTGGACAGGATCCATTACAATGGAATCATTGTGCAGTGGTACCTCCTATTGTTATGTCTACTACTTTCCGTCAAGATGGACCTGCACAACATAGAGTAAGCATTTTACCATGAAATTTAATAATGTTCATCAATTTATCAAATTTGATAGTTCTAGAATAATCTATGAAATATGTTACTTATTATTTCATCTGAAAGTTAAATTTTAAAATATACTAAATTTAAATAATACTGTTCGAAATTAATAGAATATCTTCAATTCTTGTGTATTAAAATTGTATCATAAAAAATTATAGATACATTTTTACACCAATAAGAAATGATTGTAAGCAATTGTAATTGATAAGACTGATCTACTTCTGTTCAAAGAAGCTATTTTTATCATTATTTAATGTTTTAGGGCTTTGAGTATGGCAGAAGTGGCAATCCTTCACGAAATGTTTTGGAAACATGTTTAGCTGCTATAGAGAATGGAAAGCACGGTTTTGTATTTGCATCTGGTTTAGGTGCTACAACAGCAATAACTTCATTATTAAAAGCAGGAGATCATATTATATCTGGGGATGATATTTATGGTGGAACGAACCGCTTTTTCCAAAAATGTTTGTCCACACATGATATTCAAGTAACATTTGTAGATGCAACCAATAAAAATAATATTACAGCTGCCATTAAGCCAAACACAAAGGTATGGACAAATTTTCAATCTTAACACATTACAGTTTGTATACAGATTTGAGCATTTCATTTAACTTATGTCCAAATCTATGTGCACGTATTCGTCTTACAATAAATCAAATTTTATATTTAAAATTCGTACAAATTGCAACAAATAAAAAATCTTTTTCTTTCTAAGTGCATATTAAAGAAATAAATCAAATAATGTGTTTAAGTATAATTTTTTAAACAGAAAAAATTTCTGAATTTCAACCAACCTGGAAGAGTTTTTTATAAAACAATAACGGACTGTAATGTGTTAATAACTAATGTTTTACTACAAATTTTTAAATACTTTTATACGTATTTTCTTTTAGATGGTTTGGTTGGAGACTCCTACAAACCCATTACTTAAGTTAGTTAATATTACAGCCGTAACTAAAATACTCAAGACTAAGTATCCTCAAGTTATTGTAGTGGTAGATAATACTTTCCTAACATGTTACTTCCAGGCGAGTAATATTCTTCATTCGATACTGTAATTGAACTAAGTAAATAGTTTTACATGTAATTTTTTCATTGTAGAAGCCGTTAGAACTAGGTGCAGATATTGTAATATATTCTCTAACAAAATACATGAATGGGCACTCTGATATAATTATGGGTGCAGCAATAACCAGTAGAGATGATATTGCAGAGAGGCTTCGGTTTTTACAAAATGGTAATTTCATATTATTTCTTTAAATTAATTTTAATACAATCTAATGTCTTTTATTTAATTTTAATATAATTTTATACTATCTTTAATTTTATTTTTACACGATAGATGTGTTCCCGAAAAATCTGTGTAAAGAAAAAAATGTAAAAACAGAATTAAGTGTATTTCTTTTATTTATACAGTTAACTATTTCTATTTGTTTTGAATTAATATTTATGTTTATATTATTTTAGCCCTGGGCATTGTACCATCACCTTTTGATTGTTTTATGGTTAATCGCAGTCTAAAAACATTAGAGCTCAGAATGCAGCAACATATGAAAAATGGATTAGTTGTTGCAGAATTTTTGGAGTCTCATCCTTACGTAGAAAAAGTGATTCACCCATGTATGTATTTATATGAAGCATTAACGTTGTAACCTCTGAAGAATCTTACCATGCTTAATATATTCAAGTATCCAAATTTTTTAATTTACAGCGCAATTGAATTCCTTTATTAATACATGTTATATTTTGTGGTAATACACCAGCTTGATTTAATTTTAGATTTTTCGTCACATCCACAGCATAAGCTTGCCCTTAGGCAAACGTCTGGTCATAGCGGAATGGTTTCATTTTACCTCAAAGGTGATTCTAGGAAATTTTTAAAGGCGTTAAAATTGTTTACATTAGCAGAATCGCTAGGTGGTTATGAATCGCTTGCTGAATTACCGTAAGTGAACGATAATTGTGTTTACACACATCGTGCCTTCAAAAGAGAAAACGTTTGACCTTTAAAATTTCTTTGCACAGATCCGTTATGACGCATGCATCAGTTCCTGAAGAAACTAGAACAGCCTTAGGTATTAATGATCAATTAATCCGTTTGTCTATTGGCCTCGAAACAGAACGAGATATTTTGGCTGACCTTGATCAAGCACTTAAAGCTTCTCAGTAAATTCACTAGAGACGAAGAGCGTACAAAATTATAAAACGCGTTGAGTTTCTAATTCTTACTTCTTAAAACATCAAAGCATTTGATCTTTAGCAAAGACTTATTGTTATTGAAATTTTACCATTCCTAAACAATGCTATTGATGATATTACATAGGAAATAAATAGATCGCACTGCATTGTTCTTTTGTACACACATGAATACAGATTATTTTTATATGTTTTTCATGTCTTGTAACAAATTGTAAAAAATTGTACACGGTATGTCAAAGTTGTTAAAGTAATTCTTGTATCACAAAGAATCTTACAATAGACCTAGTAAAAAATCAATTACTTATTTTACAAATTAAAACTATTAAAGTATTTTTATTAAACCAAAAGTGTAGTTCGTTAATCACTAAATTTCTTAATATGACGAAAGAAATTTTAAATAGATATGTGAATGTTTATAAATTAAAAATTCACTCTACACTATGTATCTTTTAACACGTCCTCTACCTCCCAGAAAATCGTAAGCAACACGTTGTGCTTCACTGATTCGTAATCTGATATGAGCCACTCACGCACACATACACGCCATCTCGCCGATAACACAGCGGCGTCAACGTTTGACGCGGCAGTGAACGTTGGTGGTGACTGATAACTGATTGTCACGTTCAGCGTTACCAGATCAAAGGAATTAACGGGAAAAGGCAGATTGTAGTGGAGGAAAGTCAGATGGTAGTAGGGCAAGTCTGATGGTAGTGGGGGAAAATAGTAAGTCGGTTATGACCAATTATGACGTGTATGATGGTTATACAGCTTTCGTGGAGCGGACCGCGGACCCCTGACTGATTTTACAATTAGGCATTTTGCGGGTGACCGAAGGCCCATTGGTGAAACCGCAGTCAGAGCCGTACGTATACCTGACTATGGTTTCATCAATGGGCCTTTGGTCACCCGCAAAGTGCCTATATAGTTGTAAAATCAGTCGGAGGTCCTCTGCATAAAAGCGGTATAACCGAATATACTGTCAGTGTCCCTAATACGTCCCTAAGAATGTGTTGACACCTTTTTATGGTGTACTCGATGTTTAACATAACTTTTTATGACCTTCTTAATTTGTACTACCGTGTATTTTCAATTAAAGCTACATTATTATAAAATGCATTTAGAATGCAGGATGTATTTTTGTTTTCGTATCTCTGCAATGAATAAAATACTATGTTATAAAAATTAATACTAAATTCGTCGTTTACATTCTTTATGCGAAGCAATGTGCTTTATACCGAACACTTATTTTAATCGAATATAAATTCTTACGAACATAAGACTTATATTACTGTAGATCAATTTTTTTTAACTATGTCGTAATTTTGCTTTGTTTAGTCTATCGTATTCTTGTGCCCGACTGTATAGTAATACTCCCGCTATTACCAAACATGTTCCCATAGCCGATAAACCAGTTACCGGATTGTTAAATAACAATACAGACACCCAAATTAATGAAGCTCTCTTTGCTGTATTGACCACGCTATAAAAAATGAGATTGCATTTTTAATTGTGAAACTTCGATATTCCTTTACGGATTGATTACACCCAGTTCGTGTAAAAACAGAATTGGGTGCACTATGAAATTTGGAAACATACCTGTGCGTCACGGGACTGACATAGTCCATCAATGCGTACGCGGTGATACTTTGAAAATGGAAGAACACTCCATTAAGAAGATATGCTGTGAACAATTTAAAACTTAAGGAATGCTCAAGGGTCGGTAAGTCGACCAGTAAAATTGACACTGGTACTTGCACCACAATCGATGCTAGACTGGTATAAAATTGCAACTCTGCAGGTCTGTAATTTAAACGAGCGAAGTTCAGTCTAAATTAAAAATAATACAATTTAACCTTCGCCCAGCCGATACCGAATACTTCAACCAATATTTACGTTTTGCGTGTAATTGGGAGAAAGCATGTGCATTCATCCGTACGGCTCAATCTTATCGTTGTGACATAAACAATGACTGCCTGGAGGAGTTTCAATATCTCTAGCAGGCAGTATTCAGTATACGAGCTATGTCTTGATTTAGTGAGTTTTTACAACATGAATAAAATTATAACGATGAAATATCATCGGACGGAGATATTAATAGAATAAATAGTGTATTTATAATATATTTAATTTTTTTAACATATTCCTTTCCTCTATATTGTAAGCATTATTAGATAATACTTTGTATCAAGACGCTAGGTCTATAGAATGTATAATAAAAATTCTGGTACATAGAGACGCGGTATCAGCTTGACGCGTTTTCAGCCGATCGTTCGAAGATTAAGACGTGAATAACAAATGTAATACTTACGTGTACCTAAAATTATTGCCACTGATTAACATTTTGGAATAAACATTTTGCAAACATTCTGTTACATTTGTGGCCATAACAGCTACAAACCCTCTGAAATCGAAACTGATTTCATTTACTGAACACAGGGCCAAACCGCCCATTACAGGAATTAAAGATAAATTTACATATAACCCTGTATGTTCTCCTATAATGAAAGTATCGAAATTATTAATGACCGTCTTATAGATAAATTTGTTTCTTGAAATATTAGTTATATCAAATGTTTCATTTAATTGAATATTTCCTTAAATATAAAATATAGAAGAAAAATAGGTTTATAAAATACTCCATGTATTAATAATGATGCTTACCTAATAAATATCTGCTAATAAGGACGGTAAAAATTGGTGCACTACTTTTAATAGTTTCTGTGAAACTCACTGCTACATAATTGAGTGATACTAATCCTAGTACTACTGTCGTAAATCTTGTACATCCTACTAGTATCATGTGTTTATAAAAACCTGCTGGTCTTGTCAATCTTGATCTAGCTCTATACATTCCACATGGAAAATACATTTGTATAAATCCACAAACTGCTGTCATTAACATTTGACAGGCACCTGCACAAATAAATTGATATTAATTTTTTTATGAATTTAAGATCATTTAAAGAAATATCATTCCCATATGACAACTGTAAACAACTGAACTACTGAATGTCCTAAGGACTTTCCACGGTGCTCCGTAAGTAAACAATGGTACTAGACATATTAAATATTATTGTTATATTTGTTTACCCAAAATTGTGGGGTTGCCTTCCATGTAAGACAATATGTATTTGTTCAAGAATAATGTACAACCACTGAAGAGGAACCATAATGCTACAAATAGCATAGCCCTCGGGTTGAACAAACCACTTTTCGCCTTATTTTGATGGATAATTATTTCCTCCGATTTTGTATTGTTCTCCCTAAATTGTATAGCCTGGTTGTCATGTATTAATGGTTGTTCGCTATCGTGGGGTGTCAGCGTGTAATTTATACGAACAGAATGATTTTCCATTACACCATAAATGCAGGGTGCATTACACCTTACTTTCAAGTAAAATGCTACTAAATACACATTAACGCACTGACTCTGTTTGACAAATGCTTTAATTTGCCGGTGAGGTCACATTTTTGGTGCGTCCCGGTAACACGATGTTGACGTGTAATTTCTTCCGAAAAATTGAATATAGGTTACGGTTTAAGAGACTTTCAGACTTATAATGGAAATTTTAGCATTAGTTCGACAAATAGTAGAGATGACCTTGTAACAATCTACCGATAAGACTGGTGCGCCATTTTCAACTTGGTTAACCATGATACTTTCAATGTTACCTATCACGCCTATCACATTTTTGTGAACTATGTTATATGTATTCAATAGAATACCACCACTAGCCTTACACTTAGGCGAATGTGGTGGTAGCCCGCGCGTGTATATATATACATATATGCATGTTCACCTCAAGCCTGCTACACTGTTGTCCTGTAATTATAATAAAATTGTTAATTAGTCCTTTTATAATTATATTCATGACACACAAAACAGTAAAGTGGAAGTATTATTGTAAAGCAATAAAGTGTACTGTATTTAAAGCATATGCAAATACCTCAAACTTAGCATAGTAGAAGATTTAATAAAAGATTTATTTTAATATAGAAGATTTGTATGTTCTTTTTTTATTTCCGTAAATTAGTGGATATAAATCTATATTTGCATAAACATTAAAATCTAGTATATACTATGTTTATTCAGAAACTTTTAATCAATATAAAATTCTTACATTTTTAATAGAAAAATATATTAAATTAGACATAAATTGTTTATATTTAATCTTATCCTTCTCATTCTGCTTTTTACAGATTTCTTGTTACAGTCTTATTAAAATTAATATATAATAATTATAAGATTACACATAATGTTATTTTGTTCTGTTACAAGTCAGCAGACAGTGTAGTTTGAGGTATATCATCTAGCATTTTGTTAATATCTTGACAGTGATATTTTTCGACAAAATCTTTATGTGTTAAAATTGCTATGTTTCTACTACTTATTGCACTCATTTCCATTGCACTGGCAGCCCATTCAATAGCATTCACATGATAAAGGGCATTGTGCAATTTGAAGTTCGCGTCATGCACGTGCGTTAAATATTCAGGATAAGCTTTCCAAGTAATTTCTTTCACTTCTTTGATCTAAAAAAAAGAATATCAAAATATTTCCATACTGTTATAAATTCTTATGTTAGATTTCTATAAATAGTATACGTATCATACATTTGAAAACATTTCATTTAGAATTCCTGTTTTTAAAGGTGCATTACTAAAAATTTTCCAAATTCTACTGTTCTTAATTGTACCCTCTACAGAATTTAATCTTCCTACAGAACTGATTATCGTTTTGTTTGGGTCGCAACTGAGAATACCGTCGATTTCTTCGACCGAACCGAAATAATACGGTTTTAAATCAGCTTCAATAAAGGTCGCTACAGTTTTATGATATTTCTCTGCACCGTGAAAGTCGTTGTTTGGAAATCCTTCGAAAATTATGGGTAACTGTTGATCACTTGTAAGTGAAGTTGCAACAATTACAATGTCGTATGCTGATTTCATTATAACTGTACTATCTGAAATAGTAATATTTACTCAATGAGTCAGAATAAAAATAGTATTAAATAATTAGTGTCACAGTGTACCTTTATTATGAGAATGTAATTCGTATTGATTTTTCCCATCTTCGTTTGGTACATTGATAATTTTTACAACATACGAAGGTATAATATTTACATTCTTGTTTCTATATATTAAATGTTCAGGTACCTGAACAATTACATCATTATTAACTACACGAAAATACACAGAAGAGCATAATTCTGTTGTTCAATAAAAAGAACCTTTTTATTTCCTCCCTTAACAGACCACAAGTTGAAACCTGCTCCGGCTAAAGCTACACAGCCTACAAAACTCTGAATATTTGTATCTTGTCCATAATTTACAACTAATGCTGCCTTAACAAGTTCATCTATTATTTTCTCTGAATAACCCAAATCTAAAAGATGAGTTTTAATAGATACTTGTAACAACTTCGGAAACCTATTATTCATTGCTGATAAAAGACTAGTAACATTCTCAAAAGATTTTCCAGCATCCAGTAAATCGTATATCTTTGCAAAATCATTCAATATAGTTTGTACATATCTGTTTGAAATAAACAGAATTAGATATTATTGTAATATCAATTAGTATCATGTGTTTAATGTTGGTAAACATATATGGAATACCTATTAAGGCTGAATGGCTGAATACCATATCTATAAAGTAATTTAGCAAAGGACATCATTTCCCAGTTACTTTCTTCAAACACAAATTCATTACCGTTCCAAATACCTGTTTTTTGATTGTCAGGTGGTTTCTGTTCTAAACCTACATCCATAATTTATTTGTATTAAAAAACATGGTAGTTAAACGAACATAATAGAAAAATATGTAAAATAGGGTACCGAGCAGTTTAACAAATTCTTGCATATATTTATTTTGGGAATGTATGATCGAGCCACCAGTTTCAAACTCATTCCCATCAATCTGTATTGTAGCTAGACGACCACCAATGGTTTTTGCTTCATACAAATCAATATTAAGATTCCCCTTAAATAATTCTGTAAGAAAATGGGAACTCGATGCTCCTCCAATACCGCCACCAATAATTGCTAAAAAAGTTTAAACGTAGAGGGTGAGTCAACAAGAACTACTAAAATAACGTGTTACCCATTGATTGTATATAACGTTTTGACGAATTATGTAGCATTTTAAGGGATCCATTGGATGGATACAATTTGATTTTTTTGTTTTCTTTTTAGATATCTAAGTGACCTTGAACTTTTTCAAGGTCAGTGCATCTTTTTTAATACCACGTTATTGTTGATGGAAAGACGAATTCAGCAGTCTATAACATGATGGTATTAACAAAAAAAAGATGCATTGCCTCAAAAAAACTCAAGGATATCGTAAACATTACTTTTGCCATTCACTATATTTTAATTAGCTATGACACTGTATTGTTTAACGACCGCAGTAAATCATTGCAATTACTTTACATAGTCTCTTAGTATAAAAAAAAACAGTATAATTTGAAGAAAGGAATTCTTACTCACCTATATTTGGTTTACAATTTTGAAAACAACTTCCGCTTTGAAGGATTAGTGTAAATAAAAAAATTATTCGGGGATCCATAATTTGCATTTATCTCAAGTGACTTTCCTCCCGAAATCTGTTTAATATATTCGTATGTAAGTACTTGTTAACAAAAATATCTTATTATCATTTCAATGATATCAGAGTGAAAAACATAAAACAAATTCTGAAAATAACAAGTTTTTGTTACTTTTTTTACGGAAACCAAAATTTTTTAATTTAAGCCTACTTAGGTAGGCTGGTTGTGGCTCATTGTGGCTACCAACTGCCGGCGGCTGGTCGTATATGTACTAATATGTACTCAAGTATACCACGGTATCACACGGTATACCAATCACGGATCATCGGATTATCATCATTAAAGATGGCATGCAAAATCACTAACGGTGATTTATCACAGTGATCGCAGAATCACGATCACGGTCGTGATTTAACTTCATTCACGACCGTGATTGCGATTTTTTTATCTTGAGTGAATTTGCTCACTGCGATCGTGAGTCTTTGATTTTTAAACAGAAAAACGTATTCAATATGATTTTACGATGAATTACATTACTATTCGTGTTTATAAAAAAGAATGATTTACTAGGTAACATGTAGATTATAATTTATCATCATTAATTTATTCATTATTCTTCATTGTTTCTAATTATTCCTTCACTTTATACGATATAACACGAATTTTTGTTTTGATGTCGTTAATATAAAATATACAGATTATGTGTCGCGTGTAAGGAACTGTTAGGTTTCTCCACCAATCAGAAACGATCACTGTGAAAAATCGCCGTGATTGGGAACAAACGTGATCGAATCACGAGTGATTCACAAGTAACAGTTCACGCCATCTCTAATCATCATCCGTGATACCAATTGATGCCAATATACCAATACTGCGGTATACACTATACACTGGTATACACCGTATCAACCGTATACACTGCTCGCACCTTCCGTGACCTTCCGCAGATCTACTTCTGCAGATTAACTGTGGCGGCGCCAAAAACACTGTTCAAATTTTCTCATTTATCGTCTATGGTCTATGTTGTACAACACGCATTGCTGCGTTGCACGTGGTTCAGATCAGTTCAGATAGTTGCACGTTGTGATGCTTCTTTACGGATAACCTTATTTTCGCGAAATTTTTCTCATTTTCATTGATTTAACAATGACGAAGAAAAATTTGAAACGTAAAAGGACGGAATGTGCAGATAAAGCAAACGTACCGGAAATAGAAACTTTGCCACCAAAGAGAATGTCGGATGAACCGTCTCCAAAAAAGGTTCGAATTTGGTACGGTTTTCTGAATAGCATTCTGAATTTAATTCTTTTAAACTACCCAGGTAAAATGGATTAACAAGCAACGTGTGCTGGTTTTTGCTACTAGAGGAATTAGCTATAGACATCGTCATCTGATGGATGACATAAAGACTCTCATGCCTCATCATCGTCCTGAATCAAAAATGGAACGCACTACAAATTTACAAGTTGTAAATGAAATGTGTCAAATGAAAAATTGTAATAAAACAATATTATTTGAAGGGAGAAGGAAAAGGGATCTCTACTTGTGGTTTTCTAATGTTTCTGATGGACCAAGTGCAAAATTTCTTATAGAAAACAGTATGTAGAATGCCTTATCATAATAATTAATTAATGTGTTATTTAGAGGATATATAATAGATTCAGAATCAGTGAAACGAGTCAAAAAAATATTTAGAATTTTTAAATTTCATGAACTAGGATATTTCCTGTTTGATTACAATTGACACTACTTTGTTTGTTGTAGTTTATACAATGGGAGAGTTAAAAATGACAGGAAATTGTCTAAAAGGTTCCCGTCCTCTGCTGTCATTTGATGAAAATTTTAACACAAAACCACATTATAGTCTTTTAAAAGAATTACTTATTCAAATATTTGGTGTCCCAAATCATCATCCCAAAAGTCAACCATTTTTTGACCATGTGTATACTTTTAGTGTTTTGGATAATAGAATATGGTTTAGGAATTTTCAAATTTTGACTGAAGATGGTGGTTTGGCTGAAATTGGTCCAAGATTTGTATTAAATCCAATTAAAATATTCGGTGGAAGTTTTGGAGGGGAAGTACTTTGGGAAAATCCAACCTACATTTCACCTACCAAGGTATATGACAAAGTAACCTTTACTTCAATATTATCAATATACACATTTTAACAAGTTTGTATTATAATTATAATTGCAGTTTCGTCAATCTATAAATAAAAAAGCTGCTGGTAAATATGTAAACAAAGTAGAACAAAAGATAGCCCAAGAAGTTAATAAGCCAAAAGAATCTTATTCCTTGAATCCTATGGATGAAATATTCAAAGGTGATCCATTGGAAAAAGCAAAAGAGATAGAAGAAAAAGAAGTAAAAATGATAGAAACTAATAAAAATGATAAAAATAAAGTGAAAAAACGTGTGAAAAAACAATTAGGGAAGAAGATACAGAAAATAAGTATAAAGAAGAAAATAAAAAATTAACATATGGTTGGATGTACAAGATTTTTTTCTTATGCTGTACTATTAATAAAGTTTTTAGTGAATATATCATAAACAGTATGTTTTTATTTTTTTATTACTACTATAATATACAACTTTCGTTAAGCCAAAGCATGTATCATTATGATTAATTGAAAATGTATATACGTAGTATTTATAAATATACAAGTTGTAATTGGAGACATAATCATTTAATATAAAGATTTGTTTGTGTTGTGATACATCATACTTTTTACAAGAAATATAAAAATGCTTCATTCTAAAATTATTCTTATAAAATTACACAGTACCAACATAATTGTGTTATGTATATTATTCCGCTTTTAAGAAAACATTAATACATCAAATCAAATATATGTCAAATACCATATTAAACGAATAAAGGCATAATATATCATGTTATCCGTTTTCACAACTCGAAAAGAAATTCATTATTGTAATTTTATATCCTATATACTTTCAGATGTATATGAAACACAAACATCAATTATTTGAAGTATTATTAATTATCCTGGCACATACTTGTACTTGATTTTAAAAGCACATTTAAAAAAGTCCTTTAATATAATTTGTACATTACAATGAAAAAGCCTGTGTGTTATGAATTATGATACTATTATGCAATTTTAATGCTTATATTTCAACTATATATGAATACTAAGGCCATATCAGATAATTTCTTAAATTTTTCTCTTGACTCAAAAGTAAGTTTAGATAAATATTTTGTACACCTAATAACACAACGTGTAACACAGAAGCTACATTGCAATATATTTAACTGTATATAAAATTATGTTATTGTATCCTTATATTACGAATATAAATACTGATAAAAACATATGTGCTCTTTTCTTGGTCGATAAACTAAAGTACTCTTTTCATTAACATTGTATTACAAAACTATATGCAACATATACATTTAAGAACAATAAAACTTACATGATTATTTGTTCTTTGTACGTACATTGTATATTGTGACGGCATCGAGTAGTGTTCCTTTAGTAAGGTCATATTACTTTTAAGCAACAGTTCTTATATAAAGGAACATCGTAACATAGAACTATTTTTCATTAATACCAAATTTTGGAATGTTGGAATATAGCACAAACTAAATTATGATTTGCTTTGTTGATTTTATACTTTTTTGTGTTGGAAAATTGTTTTGCAAAAATATTAGATCGTAAGTGTTCTATCAAAAACTCAATAAAATTTGTATATATATCTAACAAATAAAGGTTAATTGATTAGGATTGTAAATATGATCAAACATGCTATTTCATTTTTGATTATGAAATATGAAACTTGTTCTTTGGAATGGTTAAAAACACTTCGTACTAATGGCTGGCAGTAACTTTTAGATGAAATAGATAAGTATCCTGCAATATTAATCTGTAATACAGTTCTGAAAAAGCAGCTAAGCGTATGTTCATTATGACTATATATATATATACAATTTAAAATTGTGTAAAAGTGATAAAAAAAAAGTTATAGCCATAAAATGTAAAAACATTATGAAATGTTGTTATAAAATATGTTTAAAAAATGTATAAAAAGTGTAACGCGCCTGGAAAGGCCGTATAATGATTGTACTTATGTATTCATCGGTGTTAATTCTTGAGACTGTTGCCCATTTGCATTGTTATTAGATCCGATCTGTGCGAGTGCCGACTGACGCCATTTCCCATTCTCGCCATTCAAATTTTTGTCTTCGCAAATACAGAGAAACAGTGTATCTATTACAGCCTGCAATAAATACAATATATTTATATGAAGAATATGTATGCTGTATTTATATAAAGAAATATGTTTAGTCTACCTCATAAAGAGAAATTATGCAGTGAGCAATGAAGAATGAAAAGACACAAATAACAAAAATCGGTGCTGCATAAAAATGCAACCTGGGATCCTCTTTCATGAATAATAGTCCAACACTTCCAGTCGCAGCTGTGACAAAACATTTGCCCAAGAACAGAATAAAATCGCCCACTCCATTAATTACTGCTATTTGTAATGCATTACAAACGAGCGCTGCAAATGCCTAAAAATACAACGAATCGAAGCATATTACACTTCCGTCCAACTACCATCTATTCAAGTATTTGAATAATTATGATGGATAAAATAAAATGGTTTCGACTATAACATACAATTCTAGCTGCGTTACAGAAATGCGTTCCCTCTATGGCGATAACAGTATACGCATTGTGGTTCATGTATCGAATAAATTTCTCTAAACAATAGAAGCAACATATGCAACATTTCAAACCGCACTGAGAACATGGAGAAGTTTCTTTAGTTTTCTCGAATCTGTGAGATAATGTAAATTGTAAATTATCTTACGGAAATATAATTTCTCGTTCTGTGCAACAGTGGTAAACATACTTAGCGTGTAGATACGTCAGTATTAAACGAGGTAATTTGAAAAGCGTTATCAGGAATGAGCCGCAAGCTACAGAACCTAGGTGGTAATAAACCAAGTTTCCCATAGCAGAGCATACCGGCGACACGCTGGCATTTTTTCCTCTGAAGTAATAAGTATATATTGTACGTATACACAAAAATATACTTTATTATCTAGATGCTCAAAAAATTACTGTTATTGTATTACCTAAAATACCAGTGTGCTACAGCTCCTGATATTACCATATGTTGACATGAAATAATAAATTCAGATGTCCATATTAATCCTATGATGTATACCCACCACATGTACTTCACCCAAGTTGGATCAACATACTCCACAAGAGTGAAAGCTGAAATATGCTAAAAGTAGTGATGGTTCAAAAATTGAAAAACACTTAAGGGAGGATTTTTGTGTGACGGGTCGAAAAAATCGATAAATTTTTTTACAAATTGAAAGGATAACATTTCAAAAACATATTACCAAAATTTGAAGGTAAAATTCGTAAAAATAACGGAGCCTATTTTGTAAGATCATAAAAAATAAAAAGGAATATTAGTTACTTTCAGAGCTGTCACACAAGAATCCCCACTTAGATACATTACTTTTAAAGGAATCCAGCGAAAAGTCAAATTTCTTTTCTTCAATGAATGCACTCTTCTCTCCGACTGAACTCAAATTCAAGGGGTCGAATATATGGTTTTTATACATTTGTACAGATTTTGTTCCAGGATAATCTGTAATTATTATACATATGAACATAATGAATATGTTTAGTTTAGAGTTTAATTAGACGATCAAAAATACTTACTAGCAGTTGCGAGACAAAGAATTACAGTTACCCAGAAAGCAAAAAATAATATTAGAGCAGCAAATGTAAGTAGCGGCTGAAAAAATAAACCTGGCAATTCTGCTAAACACTTCGCACTTTCTCTAAACAATGTTGTCATGAATCCAATACGTTTGCGCAATATACCCAGAAGAAGTAACAGAATGACCTAAAATGTACAAACGTCTGTCAAATAATTTGAATGAGCGATAAAAGTGAAAATATGGTATTAAATTTTTTTTTTACTCATTGACAGTGACATACAGTTATTATCGTGGCGACAACAGAAAAAGCTAAAAATGCTCTTTCATTTCTGGCAGATTCCTCGAGAAGTTGATTTTGATCGGTTTTGTCCAAAGTTCTTTTAATTTGTATGTATGTCCACCATAATAATACTGTACCAGCTGTAAAAATTCAATAAGAAAATTGTAAGTGAATTAACACTTAAATATAATGTAAGATATAATATTAAATAAAATATTTATAATAACGTTGTAACTTTAAATCATAAACCTAAGTCAGTTTCTCAACCAATCCCATGAATTATATTATATACAGGAAAAAGTGTTTCTATTTTATACTTCAATAACTTGTTAATGGAATATAAATGTTGAAGACTTTGTTTGGATTATTTATATGTCAAAAGGAACTCTCTTTCTTGAAAAATTGTGGGGCAGTCATTATAATTTCTTCTTTCAATTTTGCCTGAATAAGTAAGATAACTTAAAGTACAAATTTTTACACAGTATATGAACTGCATATAAAAAACAATGTTCTTTTTGCCTGAAATATTTTTTCTGTTCAAGTAACTTACCTATAGTTGCGACACTGACAAGAATCATTACAATCCATGTTACAATACTTGCCAGTAAATGGAATATGGCAATCATAAAGAGAGACAAAACTGAAAAAGAATTATATACAATTGTTTTAGACTTTATAGTAAAAAACAGATTTTAAATAACAACGAACTAATAGATTATACCAAAAGCCAAAAATGATAAAGCCAAAATCTCCCTCCATGTTTTGTATAAATCTCCTAAAACCTGTTCGATAACATCCCATGAATTAATCAGGCCATATAAATTTGCAACTATAGTTTCTCCCACATCCTTAATAGCTTTTGGAATACAACGATTAAGAACTGGTATGCTATTATGTACTGGTAATTCAGGACAAGATCCTGTTTTATTTTTTCTATTCCCATTACTACAGGCACTCAAATCGTTTCCTGGTTTATCATGACAAAGCTGTGATCCTGTTTCCTCATAAAATCTGCATATATCATTCATTGTTCTCATAGTTCTGTCTGGACACTTTTTCACACAAATCTTCAAAGACTGTGTCACATTGCTTATGTCTAAAAAGAACAGGTATCTGAAATAATAAAAGTTGATCAGCATTATGAATGAAATTTTAACTTAATTAATAATTCAATTCATAAAAAACAAAATTTAAGTATGAATACATACGGTTTGTCACTAGTATCTTGCCCAGAAAGCTCCATACTGCCAAACTTTGGATTATTTTTCATACCACAGGTATTTCCAAAGCTATCATATCCATTTATAAGTCTTAAAGGATTACCATAAACAAGAGCAAAAGCTGCAACTAATATCTATGTAAAAAACACACAATTGTTAAACACATTTACATTACATCCGATAGATTTATTTATCTAAATAATAATATGTATTTAATATCAGTTTTAATACTGTACACAATGTCAAGGTGAAACTTGACAGAATAGTGTTTAATACTGAATATTTAAGAATGAATACAACTCTTTTGGTGCAAGAGTACTAAAAAAGTAAACTTGCTAAAGTAAATTCTTAAATATTTTTTACAGTATCAGCTTGTTATGATTCTAAAACCAATATATCAAACTTTATGTACCATAAGAAACCAAAATGCTATGAAACTACACAGCCAGAAAATATCCGTGCATTCTCGCACGTTCGTTGGATCCGGTCGTTGTTCTTCATCTTCGTCGCCTGAACAACAACACATTTCTTAAAACTTTAATTGGAATCACAACAAGGTACTTAAGTAAAAAACCAAGAGCCCTCATCGATTTCGGAGCTACTCCCTCCGTCTATTCACCGTGAAGTTATCTACAATTTATGTATACACCATACGGGAGTAGTATTTACACCAGCAGTGGGCAAAGCTGGGGACCCCGCTTCCGGGAGCTAAAACATGTCCCCACTACCGACAGCCGTTACCATGGAGTAACAGAGACAAAAGTCTGAGCCTCTTTGTTTCTACCATGAACAAATAGTCACTACCCTGTTCAGCGCTAATTTAGACACATTCGAATTTTTTCTATTTTCATCAGTTTAGGTTGTCTACATTTATGTTTACAAAAAAGGAGAATTTTCATTTGCAATGTATGAAAAGTAGTACCCATGACAGATATTTAGAATGTTTCTTATAAAATGTAGCGATGTACAAAAATGATATGGGTACATGGTTTCGTACAGACGCTCCTGTGATCTGCATGACATACCTCGTTTCCAAGGTAACGACGTATACGTCACACGATTACTACAATGAAGGTTGTAGCAACAGATTATTTCTTCATTCATTTATGTGAAATGTCGAGGCTTGGTGCGAAGTATTGGACGTTATACTTGTGAAACAGTTTCTGTTTTAATTAGCGTTTAAGTGTGAGTAATTTGGCTCATCCGCGTAACTCGTTTCAGTAAATATTTCCAATGCAAGTATGACTTTAAAGTTGAAATTGCACTCCTTAGAATTAGAAGTATAACCTATACATTCGTAAGTGATGCTTCAACCACAAAATATTTAAAATTCAATTCATTTCAACTATTTGTATTAATTAGGATTTAGGTGTCCATTTTTCTTGTGATGTGACCTTTAATAACCATTATAGAAAAATGGTTAACAAAGCAAATGTGTCTCCTGGAATGTTGTTAAGAAGTCTCGTTATGTTATGAATATTCATGTTTTAAAATTACTGTATATATTCCTTTTTGGTCCTCTAACACATTGAGTTTGGAAGCATGATTCAGAACCCATCCTGTAAATGTCATATCTCACAATTGGGAAAGGTACAAAACACCTCCTTGAAGTTCATATTGTATCTTTTGCGAATACTTATAGATTATGCATAATTCTTGTGACAAGTGAGTTGGATAATGTATGAATTCATTTAAACTTGCAGAGCTTATCAAGTCATAGACTTTCTAGCAACCTTACTTTGTCCAAATATCTTAGGTGAACTTATATTTTATCTGTATGTATCTTCTCGTTTAATTTTCAACCTTTTGTTTATTTGTTTGACTTTATTCTTTTCCATATTATTGTGACTGTCTTGGTAGTCTGTATGTATTTCTTTTTATATATAATTGTTTTGTATATAATGTATTGTATTGTTAAATAGAGAAGTTAAATGAAATTAAATAGTTTGTACATGTTTGTAACATGTTGAGCTACTAAATTTAATAGCATTAAATTGTTACATATTATTTGTAATCTTTTTGATATTTTTTATTGCTTATTTTCCTTTGCATAATGAATTATGATTTTTTCTATTACTTTTTCTATCTCTTTAGTTTTATGTTCAGAAATCTAAAGATGCCACTTGTAGCAGATGCCCAGCATTAATTTTTTATTTCACAAGTAATAAAAATTCATTTTAGTGATGGAGGAAGATGGTGGTAAAAGAATGAGAGGCAGAACTCGTGGTAGGGCACGTGGTAGAGCACGTCGTGCCAGAGGCAGATCTAAAAAACAAGTGAAGGTAAAGTTTTTGTACTTTGTGTTAGAAACTAATAATACTAAGAGGTCATGGTTTTGAACATGTATTAAAGAGACATGTGTAACGTCTATTAGAGAATTAAAAATCTATGTTCTTAATATATGGGTATTAACATATTCATAATTTTTAATAACGTCGTCAACTGTTACCAGAAAACATTTAAAAAAATAATTGCAGAACGATAACTTTTGCCGATGGTGGCAAGATTTCTGTGTCAACAATCGATTTCAGTATCGTGAATATGTGTTTTGTTCCCCAAGGAACATGTGTATGTGTGTATATGTATACACGGGTACTAGTGTATTCAAAATTATACGCATTATAGTACAGATATGTTAATACACGTGAAATACAGACTTCTACTAACAATGTTTATAATATCGGATTAGAAGTAATAGTTATTGTCTTTGACAATAACAGGTTATCGAAAGCGACGAAGAAGATACTTCTCAACAAGTCGAAGAAACTCCAGTAGAAGCAGGTGGAGCAGAATTGGAAGAACATGAGGCACCACCGACGCAACAGCCTCCATTGGAACAACAGTTCGATCTGGAGGCTGATATATCGCAACTGGAAGCTCCGACGTTCACAACTATTAACAGAGGTCCTCCTGAACCAATGCTCCGTTTAAGATGGGACCATAGAGTTAATCTTATCGGGGAAAAAGTTTTAAATCCCATGATACACTGTTGCGACAAGTGCTTGAAGCCGATTCTCATCTATGGACGCATGGTAAATAATACTTATATATCGAGTCTTCAAATAAATGAAATAAATTTGTGTACCGCTTAATGTCCAGATATATTGAAACTTATTATTTCAGATACCTTGCAAACATGTGTTTTGCTTGTCTTGTGCTAAGAGAGAAGACAAAGTTTGTCCTCGTTGTATGGAAAAAGTTTCTAGAGTGGAACAAACAGGTTTGGGTACTGTCTTTATGTGTACGCACGGAGGAACTAGATATGGAAATGCAGGTTGCAGAAGAACATATCTTAGTCAAAGAGATCTGCAGGTAATTTTAAAGAATTCATTCCAGGTCTTACGAATTGTTTTGATTATGGGAATACATTATATACGGTTTTTTGTACAGGCTCACATAAATCACCGGCATATCTCAGCTCCACCGCAACAAGTTCAAGAAATACAAGTTGATGCGTCTCAATATGTGCATACTAAGTCAGAAATCGAGTCTCAGTTAACAAAAGTTTCGTCGGTTGCGATGCAAAATACTCGTATAAAGTCAGTGCAGTCACACATGGTTCAACCAATAATGGGGAACGATCCTAGAGTGAATTCTATGGTGAACCAGGCGCCAGTGGAACACAGACAACAGCATAGGTCACAGTCATTAATATCGATGCAGAATTATTCTCAAGGTTCAGCGCCACCCCCCCCAAATAACGCTCCATTGAGAACAAATCTGATAACTGTACCCATTCAAGATACGTCTATAACAACACACGACATACATTCGCAGCAAAGTCATCATTACTATCCTCCTCCGCCGCAAGTTAATTATGGAGGATATAATGTGCCACCTCCAGTTTCACAGACACAACAGTACTATTCGCAGCCACAGCATCCTGCTCAAGTATCTTATGTTCCACCACCTCAATCGCAGCAACAACAATACGTATCTTCCACGCCTACTTCGATAAGGCCATCTCCGACAGGGTATATACAAGATCAATCGTATGGTCCGCCACCGCCTCAGCAGCAAGCTCCACCACCTCAAAGTCAATGGTCGCAACATCAACAACAGTTTTATAGGTAAAGGAAATTTACCCTTTACTGTAAACAGACTTCTATTGTATACATTGTGATATACAACTGTTATGGATGATATGCAGTAACTACGAATGGGGTTATGAATACCATTTCTGTGAATGTGCTGCTTACTATTAGGAGAAATTAACTTTAAAATATTTTATACTTTTCAAGAACTATATACGCAGAATTAAATGGCTAAACTTATACAATACTATAGCAATAAAGTTGTTTTAATTGAACGGTGAAGGGTTCATTTACTTCCTGTTTGGAAATTTCTAATAATATTTAAGATTTGCGGAAAGAAGGATTCTAAGTAGGAAAGGTAAGGATTTCTAATAGTATTTAAGATTTGCGGAAAGAAGGAATAATTTGTTTAATATGAAAATGTTTTATACTTATTATTTATGTACAATTAACAGATTCCGAATTATAAGTTTATAAATTAAACAGTTAATAGAATATCAATAGTCCAAAAAAGTGTTTCTACTATATACTGCATATGTGGTGTTAGTATTCATAACTTTATTTCATATGCGGTATACGAAAATAGGAGATTAATATTTCTTCAGTAGAATTTAATATTGTACAGAATGTAACGATTTTAACTTATGTACAAAGCTTTATGTATATAACATGTACATTAGTTTCTTAAAATGTACTTAGTGAAATCAACAAATTCATTTATTCACACACTTAATTCTGGCCTTTCGCTTTTTTTAGCTCGAGTCATATTTATAATAATAAATATTAATTGACTAAAAATCTTATACTGAAAGTACTTGAAAATTTGTATATAGTTTTATTTAAGTGGAAGGCCAAAATATGAATAACATACATTCCCAAGAGACATTTCTGTGTCATACATAAAAATAGTTTTTTTTTTCAATCTTACTTCATCCTCACACAAGTAATAATATGCCTATAATCACTCTCTATACTGTCTTGTTCCCTTCACATTTTACAACGCTCCTTATTTGTATTTACAGCCTATTGATATATCAAATATTAACCACAATGCTATACATTTATATGAACTACTTTCCATTCACCTTTTTATATGGTTGCATTGAAATTCTGGTGCTCAATTCTTCGGTTGATTCAAAGTATTAGTAAATGGCAAGAAAAAAAAAGAGTTGCAATACGTATTTGTGGCACAATTCAACAATCAATTGCAAATTTTAAATACCTGTAATTAAAAAGTAGCTGTTCTTTTTTGTGCTAAAAAAAGGTAATTTAATTTAAATATATGTATATAAGTAAAACGTATTTGTAAATTCAAAGAAAACTTAAATTAATTTTCTGGAGAATGAATCTCAATTTCTTTGTGACGTATGTTTAGATACAAATATAAACAGTACCATTGCTAAAACCAGAGAGGAAGAAATTAGTTGTATAAAATTTAAATTTTCGTATTTGTGGAAAAAATTGATGATATTGAAAAAATAATTGTATAAATATAAATATTTTCAGAATGAAATAACTTCTGTTCTTTCTTTCTTTTTGAAAAATGACCTGTAACAGTATGAAAGATACAATATACATTATCCCAAGAATGGCGACAGTAACATTATGATTTCGAAATGAGCTGCAAATATTTGTGATTTACAATCCTTTGATTTTAACATGTTTATATAATATGTATTACGTATTAACCTTTTTACGTTGTATAGAATGTTTAATCACAATCCCGGTGGTATAAAATATTTCCTATAATAGCATATCGGAAAAGCAAAAGATTTTGTTAAAATTTACACTTGTTCCTAGTGAAATTACTGCATAGTATTGTACTGGAAGCCAGTCTATTTTTTAATTATTGTTATTAGTAATGCATTCTTTTTACCTTCCAGTTACCATTGAACAGCATTAAAGACGGAACAATGCTGCAATTGTGCAGATATTGCAGAACCTCTGAGGTTTTCGTTAAAAGCGTTTAAATTATCACGCACGGACAGTACTCAATTACATAGAGTTCATAGTTCTTAGTAATAAAGAACACGATTTTGTTGGGAAATAGAATCACAAGATAGAAGGATTGATTTTGTCATATTTGTTATGCATAAGAATCTTCTAAAGACTGCATTGTTGTACCATTATTAATATGATACTATAATCAATAGAGATAGACTAAAGAGGCTATTTCAATCAAATTTGGTCACCTATTTTAGGTTTTAAGAAATAATAGTGTGTAATAAAAGCATACTACATGTACATAGATATAATAAATTCAACTAAACGAGTTTATGTAATCATTAAGCGAGTATTATGTACATATTTATCGAAATTTATAATTTTACAAAATGTATCTTGATATAACATAAAATTACATCGAACGAGCATTCTATTAATTTATTCTTTGATAATACCAAAGAACAAATCGACTCGATGTTTACATTTTTAAGGACCGATTCTCAAGGATGGATACACGAACTAATTAAAAGCTATGAATACCAAGGCACCACTTGAGTATTATATTTTATTCATTGGATTTATCAAGAGACAATTATCACGTGAATGCTTTGTCGGTGTAACTTGATAATTCTAACGTGTCAATTGAATTTTCAGTAGTATAAAAATGTTATTATAAATACTTTTTCGCGTCTTTCTTTCGTTCCATTGAATATAGCCATATTAGTAGTATGGTTCAAAGTATGGTTTCTTTAGAAGTTCATAACATATTTATGCATATGAGTACTGCACTCAGTCTATTTGATGTAATCACGTGCTGGTAGAAGCGTGACTATGTATGTTTACATTAACTTGTGGAATAAGGGGGGATGCAAGGGGTTTAGGTGTAGTAGATTCAGGAATTGGAATCGAAATTGCAGGAGGAACTGGAGAATGTTTTTTAGCTCGATCTTGTTGCCATGGTTTTGCATGATCCTTACTTAACCTTTCACTTAAGGCTTTTAATGCTATTTGCCTGAAATGATTAACATAATAGAAAATATAGAAACGATGTTATTAAATAAAAATTTTGTAACTATCATAAATGATTGAAAAAAAGAAGCAAACCTTCTTCTATCACTGTCATGTGGGTCAATACCAGGAAGGTTTATAATCAGACCAGGAGGTGCATTAGACATATCAAATCTTCTGACTACTTTTCTACACAATCCAACACGTACAAAGAACCCATGTATTGTGTTACTTACAACTGCTATTGGCGGTTGCAAAACATTAGGGAAGAAACTGTAGACAATTTTATTATCATGAGAGTAAATACAAATTCGAAAAGGATCTAAAACACATTAAAGTGTAATTTACCTTGCAAACGTAAAATTATCTGCCATATCACCACGTGTACCATTGTTATGTTTCTGATAAAATCTAAGGTATATCCATGATATTAATAATCCACTAAGAAACATGGTTGGATGAGTGCCTTCTAATAATCCAAAAAGCCACAATAACACTCCCATAATCCACACCATTAATGGTATGTTTCTATTGGTAATTTTTCCAATTGGTGTTTTTACTAGAATATGATCTGGCATTATTTGTTTTACAGCTACCGCGACACCTAAAATAAGGCATAAATAACACTGCTATTATACTTAACAATTTTAATGAATTAAACAAATTAACTACCTCAGCTTTAATTAAGTGTTTAGAGTGCTACATATATTTAAGTATGTATGACATACATAGAATGATAACAGAGAATTTTCAACAAAAGTAATCACTCGTAAGGACCATACCTGCAATGTATCCAGTTAATCCATGGATGTGTATGCCAAACAGTAAATCTGGATCATTGGTGCACATATAGAGAAATAAATAAAATAAGGCTGACAGCACAGCGACGCCAAAATTAACGATAGCGAAGAAAGTCATCATTTCCATCGCCCCCCAAAGGGGCTCGATTAATTTGCCACAGAGTCCGACGGTGACAATGTCCACGCATACTTCCCAGAAATGTATCTCGAGGAAACAGAAGGTAAACGCTGTCCAGATCCAGAAAGCTGGAGGCAGCAAGTAACCTGGTGTCACGCTCAGAAGACGTACCGCTTCCGACGAAAAAGAAAGACAATAGGAAAACAGGACTACGATGCATATGAATTTTACACTGGTGCTAGTGTTTCCTAAAAGAGCAGCGAACTGTTGTCTCAGATAGGGGATATTTCTACCCAGGCCCTTTATCGCTGCCATTTCTACCGAGCAGCGAGCCCCTTAACCTCTTTGAATCAGAGAGCCACTTGTGATGCGACTTGACGTCGCTACAGGTTCATCAAACTCACATTTGACTCCCCTCTCATGTGCTCACAAATATGGTGCGAATTACGATTTTACTTTTATGTTTATAATATTTAACTTTGTAACTAGAAAATAATTTTGATTTTTTTAATAACGTGGTTATAAGAGTCATTTTGTAAGCACGCTGTATAACATTAGAAAAAATTAATATTGAAATATTTTAGTTTTCATCGCAATTTTCAAATTTTGTAACACTTGTATACGGGATGTGAGTTTGCAATTTTTAACTTTGTTCCGCAAGCACTATCGATTCTCAATTCTTTGATACTTGTTTATAATAATTCGTATGATTAAATATATGTAACGAAAAATAATCAGCATTGATTTCCACTTTCCAAAAATGATCATTATTGCATTTGAACTCCCGAACCTATCTCGTCACATGTGTTGACAATCGTGTTTTGTTATTCGTCGATCAGTTATTAACGTTTGACATTTTGAAACACTTTTTGGCGAATTGATTAAAATTGGTAGAGAGGCATTAATTAATGTTTTTCTTGAAGTGAAAAATATCGAAACGGCTACGTACTGGATCTTTTAACGACACGTGAAATTTATTGCATTCTGCATAATTATGCTGATTATTTATAAACCCTGACGCGCATTTAAAACAACCAATGGAGCAAACCTCGTTTACGAAAGTGTTTTAATCATCATGTACATCACGCTAATTAATTAAAATTGAAATCTCTGCGGTATGTATTGTCAACTACATTAAGAAGTGAACAGGGTCGAATGATAAATGCCTGGAGTTTGTCCGCGCTGTAATCGCGAGGTTTACTTCGCAGAAGAAAAATTAGCCCTTGAAAAAGTTTGGCATACTTTTTGTTTTTCTTGCCGTTAGTATCGTAAAATTTTCTTCAAAAATTTATATAATTTATTTACATTTTTTACAATATTTTTCTCTTTTTTTTATTCATACTTACGGTAGGACAATTTTTAAAAACCCTACAGGTAATTGTCGGAAACTACTGAATAGCTGCAACGTGGTGACGTATCTTGGTGAATTATTTTGCAAGAATTGTTATATTCGCCAGTCTTATTCGACCAATAACCATGAAATTAAATCGAAAGCTCGTCCCCCTGCAAACCTAGCTCAAAATTTATTGAACTGTTATTCTTGCGGATTGGAGAGCTCAGTCGGTAATACATTGCAAAATAGAAAACGATATTACCAATCTGACGCGTGCAGACTTCGTGGGGGAGGTAGCGAGATCGGAGAAACGAATGTTTATTTTGACGAAGAGAAAAAGCATCTTTTAGAAAACGACTGTGTAAATCTGGGTACTACAAATTCGATGTCAACGCTTTGCGATCCTCCTCCTAGTCCTACTGCAGTAACTACATGGTACAATCGGCAACATTCTAAATTTCGCAGGTTCGAACACATTGTTGGTCTAACTTGTATAGTGCTGTCAACGGATGAGGGTTTTTGCATTACCGCTTTAAGTTTTACATATTTATTTTTACATATGTTGGTAATGTTGTATATGCTTTCTTATACAAAGATATCTATTAATTCTGGAGATACTTTCGACACTCTAATCCTTATGAATTATGTATATCTCTATACCCTATGAATACACAAACATTCGAATATTTTGGGTTAAGTTAGCGGCCCTACTCCAGAGAGTATAGTTTTGCGATTGTTATGAAAGTCTGATCGATGATAATGGCATTTTCATTTGAATAGCTCGACTTTTGAGCCGCAGAAGAACATCGTTATCGCGAAGGATTGTCGATTTGATGCACAACAAGACACCGATATATCTGACCTAAACTTACCATACAGTAATAATGATATCGACATCACAGAGGCCCAGCTAAGGTATGTTACGTTTCTCGAATCCTTTATAACGTTTAGAGTAGAAACTATTGCTACATTGCTAATACAAACTACTTTCGGGAAAATCTTTAAGTTTACGTTTGAAAAAGATTGGAAGATACCATTCGTATTCAGTGGTTCCGCGTTGTTGTTTATGAACAAACGTTTAGTACAAAGTTTGTATTTTTTGTATTTTATTAGATCATCTCATAAGTGATGCAGTTTTATCGGTATGTCTTAGGTGTATGTATTTTCAATTTTGAGTCACCGATGAATTTGGTTCGGTAGTATAATCTCTAAAATGTCCTCAGTTCTATAGCCCCCCTCGACATGAGGTAGACTATTCATTGTCGTAATTACGTTAACTGTTTTGTTGAAGTCGTCTAACAAAGCATACCGAATACAGTAAATCGTCGATGACTGTTCGAAGGTTCCTTGACACTGAACATTAAATATTTCATAAACTAATGGCCATATGCGGCTGAAACAAATATCATTGGCTTCATAATTCTAAGCTCTATCACTGTGCTAAATCTCATTAAAAAGTCAGCGTTACATCTAGGGACCTCACCTTGATAATTTAGAGGGGCGTTTGAAGACTTATCGACGATTTACTGTACGTTCCTATGTCACGTCCACTTCAAACACGTTTAGCAATAAATATGACGGTGATCGAAATTGGAAGGTCCCTATTTAGGATAGCATGTACACCGACGAGCAAACTCGGCTTCCGCTGGGGGAAAAAGCGGCGTAGAAGAAAAGTCTTGGTAAATTTATTCCAGGTAGTGAAATAAATGTTAAATCGAATGTTAATTTGGCATACATGTCAGTAATTCCAAATACCAAGTGGTAGGAGGCCCTTCTCATGCTCGACGGTGTACACAGTTCACTTCGATTTGAATCTCCAAGTAAATGGCACGCGTCTCATCGATATAAAGTGTCTTAAGTGTAGATATTTCCAGCACAGACAAAACTCGAGTGCCGTTCACCGACTGGAATAATAAAATTAACGAATCCGACCCCGTACGCGAATTTAGCGCCGATAACGACACTATTCCGTCAAGACGAAAATTTGCGTATCCGCCGGTACCACCGCCTCGGAATCCGCTGCCTTCCCGACGACGAGTCTCGTTCTGCGACGTCGTCATCGGGGATACACGCGGAGGGAACAGTCAGAATCGTATGACGAAACTGCTGGACGCTCGCCATAGGCCCTGCTGTGATAACGATAGTAACGGCGAACGTCATTGTAGTTCGTACGACATCTGGCGAGCGGACGATTCGGTCGGTAAACATGACGGCGGATACGAAAATCTTAACGTAAGTGAAACCGAGGAGAATGGACGAATGCATTTTGAAAAAAGCGCCTCGGAGTGTTGCAACGACGGGGACGAGACGTTGAACAACAAATGCAATGACATCGAGCAGAATACGGGACAGAGTCGGACCATGAACGAAAAGGACGACGATTCCTCGAGAGAAGACTCGATCGCGTATCAAAACGGTCCGGGATCATCGAATGGGCTCGACGAGAATGAACGTATGAGAGGCGGTTGCGGTGGACCGTGTACACCGTGCGGTCCTCGGCCCAAAGTTTCCTGCGGAGTGGTCAAAGTGATAGAACCTATCTGCTGTTGCGGAAAACGTAATAAAAACAATTTCACGATCGATAGGTGGGTTATAAAAGTATTCGGCTACCTTGAGGATTAAGTGAATTTTACGTGGAATTGTAAGTTTGCAAGTACAGTGGACTCTTGATATATTGTTGCGTACGGGGTTGTAGGAGAGTAAAATTCTCGGAAACGATAACATATCGAGAGCCCCATCTATGATAAGTTCTGCCGTCGTAGCTCCGGCTCCAGCGCCTGCGCAAGAGCTGGATCATACTAGCGGTGACGGTGTACGCAATGTTGTGGGAGAGCGAATTTGTGTGCGTGAAAGTACGTGTGGAGGGCAAGTGCTTCACGCAGCAATGTAGCAAGCTGCAATATATCAAGAGTCTACTGTAAAAAAACTACAATTTCCCGTGAAATTTGCTTAATGCTAAGGCAGTGTTTCCTAACCTTTTTTGGATCATCGCCCCACCTCATCGCCCCAAAGATCTCGATGCCCCCTAGCATAATAGTACGTAAACCAAGTTTTGAAAAACGTTTAACATAAATAGCTGTTTCAAATAAAAAAGGCACATAGGTACAACTGCCGTCGATAATGTGACGAATGTAAATGATTTGCTAATCGCCCCCTAAAATGGGGGCGTATGCCCCATGCTGGAATTCCCTCCCAAACTTGGGACTTAGTAACCTAAGGTGTTCGAATACTTTTGTGACCAACTGCCCAGATAGCACATGACGCCTTGAAGACCACCATTTTACGGCTATTTTATGTCTAAGGCGCCTTTAAGCCGTCTTCAAGGCGTTATTAGGCGTCACGTGTTATCTGGGTGGGTGTATAGGTGATTTCCCAAGCAAGAATTTCGATATAGAGGAGAAATACGATTCTTGTTTCGCAGCAGAACCAGAACCATGTCGCGTCGTCCCCTCATGTTCGAGTTGTCTATCACCGTGTAACGATCGACGTGGTTGCTGTCCACCAGCGAACGAACGGCCAATTTGCAAGAAAACGATCATCAGATGTCGTCCAACGTGCACCGAGTCGCCCGCTTGCGGAGGCGGTGGATGCTGCGGTGGCGGATGCCGCGGTGGTTGCGGAAAACCCGGGCAAACGTGTTTACCGGCAAAATCTTGCTCGAATCCGTGTCGACCGTGTTCACCGCGTTCACCACCACGAGCTTGCCCCCCGCCGCCATCTTGCTCTTGCAACAGAAGATGCACTCCCTGTTGTCCTAGTAGCGGCGGTGGCACGAGCTGCTGTTGTCGGTGAGAAGAATGTTTAAACGATTGAAATATAGGGCCGGGGATAAGTGTAGATATTTATTATGTGTACATTTTGATGTAGATTTTAGATTTATTCTGGTGACATTAAATGTTATTGGAAAGAGAACCTCTTAACATTACAAAAAATATACACAGATCTAACAACTCTGAAAATTTAGTTACTTAGTACATATATTGAAAGTTATTTGTAACTCCTGAACTTACACGGTTTTAGAATTTATATATTATAACTGAAAACATTCAAATGGGGCTTACAGTTTCCATGAAACTTGATTTCAAATTTGAATATTTAATGTAATACAAATATATTTGAATATCGTATAAATAGTTAAACAAATTTTTGTTTTGCTTCTATTTGTAAAGAGTATAATAAATTGAAGTTTACACGTGATCAGTTCTTCAGAATACCTATATGACAGGAATTTTTATAACATTGTGTGGTTTATATTGTACTTCATTTGTGCGACCACCATTATTAGGTACAAGTGAACAGTGATTTTTTATGCATGCAGATCGAAAAGCCCAGTATGCCGAGTGAGTCGAAGGAGATGCAGTACTGACAGAGCAGACTGTAACGAGGGCGGATGTTGCCGACCGAAAGTCACCTGCGAGTGTCTGGGAGGTGGACTTGATTGCCAGCGCTGTGGACGGAAAGTGTACCAGGCCGAAATGCAGGTAAGTTTTAAATAATTAACGAAATGTATAAGCTTTTATCAAACCCCATCTAAACATACAACTGTACCCAAGGAATAAGAATGACATTTAAAAAGAAATATGTACATTTATCAAGTATATGTTAAATGTTGCGAATTTTAATGGCGATGAAAATTATTTACAAACTTCGACGCGCTTAATGAACTAAATTGGTTCTTATAGCTTTGGTTTATACCGACATTAGTGATGGGCGATACAGTATCGATGTTTCAAATATCGATATTTTGTAATGATATTTAATGTGCCGATATAATATTGATATTTTATTCCCGATATACATGTGTAGCGATACTTTAGGTATCAATACATATCGATACCAGATATCAATACAATTCAAATGTATCTGTCATTAACTGCCATACACTTTATAGATACGCCATTCAATTGTAATGACAATTATTGACAGTGTTGGTTAAGTAGATGCAAGTCATTATTAATCCTCACGTTAACGTTGACGTTTATGTCTATTCAAGATGGTGTCTGGCATACCCTTTCACAATATATGCTTCAGCTGCTATTGCTGCCGAAAACCCTTGGAACCGTTAACGTATCAGGAAAATTGTGGAGAAATATACTGTAAACGTTAGTCCGTATACCCATAATTTTTTGTTACTCTCTCGACTTTGAACATTCTCCTGTTTATCGTAGAGCAATGATATATACTACCGCCGAGTAAGACAGTTTCCAACATTACGAATTCCTGTGTCAATTTTATTTCCGTTTCTCTTTGGATATTTAGAATGTTATGTTCGAAATTTTGGACCTCAAGGATACGGGTATGGCGTAGGACCAGGAGCGTTACAGACTCCGATGTGAAGTCAACGTTTTGAGCCTTGTACAAAACTGAAATCGATCAAACGTAGCATCCTCAGACCTCGACTTGTCCCAGAAATTTTTCGTCCCCGTTTTGTGGCATTTTTCGCTCGACAGTTTTTGTAGACAACTTTTTCTCGTGCACATCGTATATTAAAAGGCACTCCGCCGAACAGTGTACTATAAGTGAATTACAATTACATTTTATTAGCAGAATATCGTAACTTAATCGATCAGCCATTTTTCTAATGTACAGAGTAATATTAACCTTTTCGTTACGGCCATTTTTACCGCGACATAGTAGCTGGTAATACTTCTATGCATTCAGGTATTGAATTACAAATAATCTGCAAACCATAAAGTAAACGTACATGTTTATAAATGTCTGATCAATGTCAACAGTTTCGTAAGTTTCAACAGTACATAGTCGTCATTTCGCGACTATAGTTTACTGTTGTACACGTAGTTTACAAGCAACCATAGTTGGTCCCAGTAACGAAAAGGTTAAGAATCGAAATACTTGATTTCTTTAACTTAATGTTTCACTCAAAATCATTATCGTATAGTCCCCTAAAATTCGGTCACACACTCTTCTATTCTCTCCGCTACAATTTCTCATTAAAAAAAATCGGTAGCAGCGATTGACACGGTTCCAACAATAACTATTTCGAACTGGTTATATTGGTTTCGATTAAAACAGTTATGAGAACCGAAATAATGTTATAATTGTTATAGATGTAACGGTTCTTATTCATATCGGCTTTGGTTTCGATTTTTAGGAACCCATATTCTATTGGTTCTATATCGATTCTATAACTGATAAATTCATACTTATATTATATTGATCGTTAAATATATTAGGTACTTATCTAGTGTAATAAAATAATTTTTCTTTAATTTTTGCGAAAAATAATTACAAAACTGATATAGAACCAATACAACATCGGTTCTGAAGAACCGAAATCGATATAGGTCAGAACCGTTATATCCATAACAGTTATAACATTATTTCGGTTCTCATAACAGTTTAAAGAACCGAAACCGATATCATAACTGTTCTCAATCCCTGATCGAAAGATTCGAAAGCTATCGAAACAAGTGGCAGAGCCTCCGACTCAAGGAAATTCCACGCTTGAATTTGAAGAAGAAAGCAAATGACCATCCCCACCACCGCAAGAGGGCTTCCTGTTAGTCGACAGATATGGCGGACGTCGGAAGTTCGAACAACGGAAACGTGAATCCTGGGGAACGGTAAAAATCTTCAAATCGTGAAACAGAAAAAGGGTTGTCGTTCTCGAATAAATGACAAAAGCTAGGCGAGCGACGACACAAATATTCTTCGACGAACGAGACAAGAACACTCGCGTGGCGTAGAGGTTATACACGATTCACGGGATAGACGTAGGAGAGTAGAGAGGAAATGAGACGAACGGGGTAGTTTTATTGGTGAGAATAAAGATAGGGAGAATGGAAGAACAGTCCGTGATCCCGTGAAATACGGAGAACGAAAGGAGTGAGAGGGAGAGTGTGGGACAAAGATGTGCGCACGGGGGCGGCGGTGAAAGACGGAGGAAGAAAGAGTGAGTGGTTGGTTTATTGAGTCTCTCCTCTTAGTGGATTGTGGAACGTACGCGGCGCGCGCTGGGCGAGTAGAAGGGGGCGTTTATATAGCTTTCAAGCGCAGGAGCTTAATCTAATTTCAAATATAAATCTGTTTTCTCCCCGTTTTCTCTCTCCCCCACCCGCCCGTCGCGGCCCCACTTCCGCCGCCTTCGTTTCCATTCCCCTCGGCCATCCATATAGCAGCGTGCCTCTCGCCGGCTTACATTATCCGGACGGCTACGAATAATCTCTCCTCTCTTGGCTCTGCCTATTAACGGTATGAGAGACACCCATTTTCTTCGGTTTCACGAATCATCGGAACTCGTGCTGCTGCTGCTGGATCTATCTTTTGGTGTCTTCTGGGGAAGATAGTATCGAGGGTAGGGGGCGAGGGATGGTTCGAAAAGTACAGTAAGATTTCGATTATGCAAACTGGTGAAATTCATGGTTGTTCGCGGTGTGCAACATAGCACCCCGTTTAATCATCTGAAATCGAAAAATCAGACTGTTTTTCAAAGTTTAGGTTTAGAACTAGTGGACCCTCTACAAATACTTGAAGGCAAAGAACAGTTTATTTAACAGTTTTCTTTTTTAAATAGCAGGTTCAAACTTTCTGAAGCTTATTATCGTATTGGATTTCAGACCATCGGACGTACACTTCCGTTCATAAGTATTAGGATACTTAACAAATGTGACAAAGCATTACGAAATTCCTGAAAGTTCGAACTGCATATATTTTAGGGGATATACAAAAGCTCGGTGGGCAACGCTTATGTTACTATCTAAACTAATAAAACTCGCCTAAAATGTATAATATTTACAAAACATAACATTTTCTCCATAGAGATCAGGTGCCCTAATACTTACAAGCGGTAGTGTACAATGCATAAAATTCGTCTAATAATTATATCCACAAGCTTTTAACTGAGTATTTTTGAAATTAAATGTTTCTCCATTGTAATCTTATGACAGTCAAGTGATTAATGCACAATACTTATTTTGCAAAGAAGCCAAACGGTCCATGGTTAGTAAAAAAATTGAGGTTACACTTCGTTACATGCCACGTCCATGATTACAAAGGAAGCTTCGAAGAGTCAAAAGAACGGGTATGCATTTTCACGATGCAAAGTAAACTCGCCCAAGGCGAGGGGGCGCCGCTTTCACGGGGAATTTTTTCGACACACGGTTGCAGCAAACGTGGATGCACCTGCGCTCAGGAAATCGAGAAAATATCTTCTCGGTTCGTCGATCGGGGCGCCCCGCATTCCCGGGTCTTTTGTGCGCGCCGCTTACCCCGAACGGTATGAAAATCAATTATTTCGTTAATTCGTGCGTTACATTGGCTGTCACGGAGCCATCACTGTGAACGACAGTGGCCCCAAGGCACTATTTTTCAATTCCGAATGTCGCCCCGCCTTTTCGAACGTATTTCCGTCTGATTCAACCGGCCGCCATTTTGCGTCCTTATCTCGACCGCCGCGTACAACGTTTTTGCGTCAAGAGAGGAATTATGTGTGCACCAACATACACACTTCGAATAAACGTAACGATATCGACTACTGTCTCCGTTCAATTTGTTTAACCTGTTCCACCGTGTTTATCCACTACAGGCCTGAATTAAGAATTTTTGGGGCCCGGAGCTATCAAATCTTAGGGGGCCCCCTCGGTAAAAAAACGGGATGAGTTAAAATCAAATAAGTAAGACCCAAGGATACCTCAGGTTCTAACAACCGTGTTATAAGGGAATTACCTGTAATTTATTCAGTGAATTGAATGAAAAATCGTTTTAGTGTAATTGTTTTTCACATGAAGGATATATAATTACACATATTACACTATGGATGCCTGTACAAATTAACATTCTTATGGAGTAACTTATAAAAGAAATAACTTTATAAAGAATCGTATTAGAAGACCTAGTCACTGAATTTATTTATATTTTCGAAGTTACAACAGCACATATATTATAATGTTCCTTTTATTCTTGGTATACGATTTATTTCCTACGAATCATTGGTAAATTGTAATACATTATTAACACTAGAACTACCAAAAGCAGTCAAAATAGCTGGTTAGTATACATTCTTCTAGCAATGATTAATTGTTAGAACGATGCATCTATTTCGGCGTTCTTTTACCACTTTCATTGCAACATGAAGACGAAGAGATTTATAGATTTGAATATTTCTCGAGAGTTTGTCATGTATATTGGATAGAAATAAGATAATCTTTACGTTTATCGTCGATAGTTCCCAGTGTTAATAAGTGTAGAACTCGTGTCTTCCCATTGATCACAACACGATCAAGAAGATTGCTCTACCTGCTCGGCCCACAAAACTAGGCCAATTTATAACGCGTTTACAAGTACGAAATCACCTTTAATATGATCTCGACAGGATGATGGCCCCGTTTAACCGGCCGTGTTGTGACAATGTTTAGGGTACCGTTCTCGGGGACTAAACATTTGTGTACGGCCCCCTTTTTAGTCAGTTCTCATTGTGCGCCGACAAGGAACGCATCGGCAATTGACAAATGGGAGGATATTAATTTTAACGTACCCAAAATTTCACGTTGCACCGCGTGCCATGGGACACTACTACCCTCGTCCCCACGGGTTTATCGCCCTCCCATGAACCTCCCGTAATCCGTTAGATCCGTCCAAATAATAATCAATTACAGCGCTGAAAATTTCTGTCTTCGGGAAAACAACGTTCGCGAGAGAATTACTGTTATTTTATTCTATTGAAATGATTGCAGGGTCGATAGTTACAGTTGTTAATACTGTATTACAATTGATCAATGATTAACTAATAAATGGATCTTCTATAAAAGCGGCAGTCTAAATTGATTACCGTAATAGTAAAATAAGAAATCTGAAATCCGTCGTTCTGACGGTTTTGGTTGTTCCGGTATAAATGTTCATTGTCAGAATCAGTTTATAAGAACGTCTGGGGTTACAGGATTTCGGTTCACAGGACACTTTGTGAACGTCCGATGTATACACAGCGAGAGTTTTTTCGTTCAATTTCGAAGCGATAAGGGAGAAACGAGTTTTCGCGGTACGGTTGGTCCCATTTAAAAAGAATTATCTAAAAGGCGTCACAGAATAAAGCGGTCTGTCGACGCGAAAAATGAATAATTGCGTGTGGCGGCCACGGAGAGGGGTAACAGTGATTTCATCCAGCGTGTCTAATTGGCGGACATGTGGACGCGACCGTGGAGAATCCCCCGCACGCGTTTCAAATGGAGCCCCCGTTTATTCAGTATACTGATCCAGAAGGGGTTGTCTGCATCCCGTCTAAGTATTTAAAGTCTCGGTACTAATCAGCCATAAACGTTTGACCTCTACCGGATTATCCTTTATTCTTGGCATTGCATTCAAACAACTTATTATTTACAAC